TTAGTGTAATACTGTTATAGACTTCTTTCTTGGCGAAAATCACATACCTACTATACATAATATCCACTAATGAGTTTACCGTATGTATAATAATACCGCACCTATTAATTTACAGTTTTAACTACAAAGTCGTTGCTACCGCAGCTGCGCTGCAGAGGCTTTTAATCTAGTTAGGGTTGCCAATTCTAGAATTCGTGAGCTTGTTTTAGTCGATTGCAAGTACCTAGATGGTTAAAAGCACGTATCCTTTGTCAAATACGTGCTTGGTATCGCGTTCAATTGATTTGTCAGCTATGAGTTTGTATAGAGCGAGGCGGTGGCTTCTTTAGGTTTCTTAGTTATGCCATATTCTTATAGAAATAAACAAACTAAACAGCTTGTACATAAAACATGGAACATTGAAACGACTTCGAGTATAAATATATCATGTCTTTTACGCTACTCATTCTCGTACCAATTGCCCCCTTGGGATTCCAACCGGCAATTGCAACTGCAAATGGAGTCCGATTTATGCAAATCACCAGGTCCTGGTTCCAAAGTAGCTACATAAAAAGTTGATTAGAAGGTGGTCATCATAATTATGTCGATCGCTGAAGCTATTTAAAAGGTTGATTGGGACGGAGGTCGTCACAAATATTACGTCGATCATTTCAGATCAACTAAGAGGATATTAAAACATAATATCCTGCAAATTTCATAACGGACGCATTAAAATAAATACTTGTATTAAAAGGACACTAACAGGTGCCACGCATGCGGGGCAATGCCGCGATGCCGCGTGGTGCGTGATAAAATCCGCACGATATTTCGTTCGTTAGTTCGTTTCAGCCGAATGACGTCCACTGCTGGACAAAGGCCTCCTCCAAGGTTTTCCACAATGAACGGTCCTGCGCTGCTCGCATCCAGGCACTTCCCGCGACCTTCACCAGATCGTCGGTCCACCTAGAAGGAGGCCTGCCAACGCTACGTCTTCCAGCCCGTGGTCGCCACTCGAGAACTTTTCTGCCCCAACGGCCACGGCCACAGCACGATATTTCAAACATCCTAATCCTGCTCCAATCGGCCGTTATCGATTGACAACCTTACAAAAGGATGATGACACGCGAATAGTCCCACGGAACAAGTTTGGTGACATCCGCGCAATTTTATTGTTTCGTGAACCAGATCGAAATGTCAGAACCACCGTTAGGCGAGAACGGTCCAATAGCGGAAACGGACCGCTTTATTGGGCCCTCTCTGGTGTTGATAACCTGTTAGGGTTGTAAAGTTTTGAGGAAAATTCTAAAACTAGATTGCGAATATAGCAAAAAGCTCGTGCCAACTGGAAATAAAATCGAACGATATTGACACGAAATAGTTTACGCTCTCAGTCTTTTTCATCTCAGTAAATAATGAGTCATGAGACCGTCCATGACTTTTCATCACTCATCATCTCAGCCATAGGACGTCCACTGCTGAACGTAGGCCTCCCCCAATGCTTTCCATGCTACCCGGTTGGTAGCGGACTGCGTCCAGAGCGCTAATCTATAACTTTTATTTTTGCAAATTTATATCATACCTACCTAACTTTATTGTCAAAGTTTGGTGGCACGAACTATACGCATAGACTTATTGTAGTTCCGAACTGTATTTCGGTAGTAAACGCATTCGAATTTAGGTTGCCGTCGTATCCAAACGATTGGGCACCAAATTCTTGTTTCCAAAACATTTGTCAAATACAGCAAAGCAGTCGCACAAAATACGACGCCTATTTCGCAAGAATGGGCAGTGGTGATACACAAACAAAGCTAAAGATACACGCTACGTTCACCAACATGGTGAATGTAGTAAAATTGTACTTCATAAAACATTATGTTCTGTCGATAAAAATAGGTTTACTCAGTTTGATAGTGAAGTGATGGAACAAACAATTTCTACACACCACCAAAATCGGAGTCGCGGAAATTATTTTTATTCTAAAAAGACAAGTACGAAGTTTAAACGGAACACAAAAAAGACAAAGGCGTTAAACGATTAATTAAGTACACCATAAATAAACCTTAAACCATTTTGGCTTATCACCATATTGTGTAATCTTAGCTTTAAAAGCGTTCCAGTCTCCCCTGTTTCTGGTAGCCTGTGATATATTGCTTTTGGCCGCACGTGAATCAGCCGGCGATTAACAAGCGAGCCGTTTGTTGCATTAAGGTTTATATTCGGTGTTCTTGTGTCCCATTTTGCAGATTTCCAAATCTAGAGAAGTCGTTAGATACTTAGAGCGTACTTGCGAATTGACTAGCACCATTGGAATAAGTAGAGCTTGTGATGTGACGCTTTGAAACGATCCACTTTAGAAAAGAAACAAATATTATGTGATATATAAATAGGAACAGCTTCAACTTTGTCAAAGGACTTTAACAGGCATCCTACTGTACCTAGTCTCTACCACAATTTCTCAATTCAAATGATGTTATTTAAAATGAGCCAGTCACGGAATCATACTCCTCATAAATATACTTAAGTTGTTATTAACAGGATACGATTCATAAAGGTCCTAGCTATAACTGTTATAACCGAACAACATTATCCAAAGTACATGTCCCGCAATTCGTATTGCAGCTACAAAACTGCTCACTTCTGCGTAGGTCTAGTGTTAGGCATAAAATTCTATTTCAATATAATCTCTACTGCCATCGGAATACGGACGCTTTTCTGCAAAATTTCCATTACATGTATGTAGTTTTGAATTATTGGGTCAAAGCGCTTCACGCACTCGGCGAAAGGATTAGATGTAGAGATTCTAAAGATCGTTGCTTTGAACTAATTTAAAGTCGTAGGTCTAAGATTCGAGCTGTCTAATAAAACTGGAGGCGAGATTAAAACAGATTTATTATTGAAATAGGAATTTTCTGGGTGTTATGAAGTTGTACAAATTCTGAAAATATGCAGGATCGTTAAAATTGCGTAGCGAAATAAGGTTCTGAATATGGAAAGGTTTATAACAGTCATTGTGGGTTTCCCAAACCGAACAAATAGCAGCAATTATAGAAAACATTTACAACTCATCAAATTATTTCGACAGTTACTGCGAACGCAATAAATATTTACACACCATAATAACAAGGTGCCATGGGCATAATTTAGGAGGGTAGAGAGGCGAAGTCCGCTTTTGTATTGTTATTTTTATTGACGCACTAGCTCCTACCAGTGCAGTGGCTTCGATCGACCGAATATTTTGACCAAAACTATTGTTTTGTTTTGGAAATGTGTCTCTATTACAACAGTAATTTGGTAAAATTGCTGTGCCTTAACTAGGTCTATATTGTATAACTGCCCAAAATTGTATGAGGTATTCACATTAGGTCATACATTAATGAAGCGTTAATGAAGTAGAAAGTAATAAAATTATTGGGCATATTAACCATTCATATCAAAACTAATTCTAAAATAAACAAAGTTGCCATCATTACATTGAATAAGAATCAGCATTACCTGTGTGTGACTTAACATGTACGTACGTACATACATAGATATTGACACTAAAACCTGAATGCAAGCATCGGATGCGACGTGTATCACCTGACTAGTTTAAAAGTCCGTAAATTTAAGCGCAATCTTGGAATATATCATTGGGTATTTCTCTTGGACGAAGTATTTCTCCATGTAATTGAACCGTCAACCATTAAAGTCCAAGCAGGCAGTCTTGTTTTATAGGGAGACTAGGGCTGGCGATATGAGAAAAAAAGAGGAAAAAAGATCTAATTGCTTTGCTCTGACTCGTGCTAATCCAAACATGAGACTATGAATGAGCAGTAATCTAGAAGACTCCAATGGAGATTCAGTAGTACGAGTAGAAGATACTTTGAAATATTTAAATAAAACGATGTGACGAAGTCATTAGCAAGTTGCAAAATCTGAATTGGTGGAGGATTCAAGTATTTTTAAGGATCTCTGAAAAAAAAAAGATATCTAGAGACCATAATTCGCCATCCTTATGAATAACCAACAACAGAATGACGTTTAATTATGTATGCGAGTAGTTTAATTTTTCCGCGTTAATAACAGCCGCATGGCCGCGTAAGTAATTTACGCTTACGATTTGTTTGGACTTGTGTTGGTTTACTTTATTTCTTTCGCTATCGGCTATTCCTTGATCTTTTTTTTAACCAGGCAATATTGTCAGTCTCTATACTCACCATTTGGGAAAAGACAAAGAGTTACGTGGAATTCGAAACACCAAAACCCTGGGTTGTTCCCACTACAGATGAATGGAAGAAAATATTATGACCAAGACCGTGTGCTCCGCGTTCATACCTCGACCTACAACAACGTATCGCAGGTTTTATAGCGAGATAAAATCTACGTTATTAAAACTGTTACTTCCGCGTGGGTGCGAATGAATTGGGACATAATTTTGATTGGCAATCATGTCTAGTGCACGGAAAAGGCGGGTGGCACTGACAGTTGAAAAATTAATATATCTGCGTTTCTCGAACACGTTTATGGATTTTTTGATTACTTCTTTTATACTCCCGGATACTACCTGACTTGAAATTTTAAATTATTCTCCAACTGATAAAGTGTTCAATCCTAACTTGACACTAAGATTCGCTCCAATGATGCAGAAAATATCTAAGCAATTTGCCGGTAAACTAGTAGAATACTTTTTGCCACTAAGTATTATTGTAAGGTATTCCTTACAAATTGAGTATTCTAAAAGATAAACTTTTCTAAGTGACAATTACATAAATGATTATTCATAATGTTTCGCAATCAGTTCAATGAACATAAATAGATAAGGTGCCCGATGGAATCAATCGCTAGATTACATTTCAGTTATCGACTGGTAGTGTTAATGAACCCCACAAGGCCAAAGCCTCCTCAAGATAACTCTATAAAACCTTTTAGTTTTATGGATTTCGATTCATTCCGCAACAAAATAATTCGATATCGAATATCTTTACGACAATCGAGTGGCAGCCGTGTTTATATATTTTAAAATAATGAGATAACTTTTATAGGCATAGGACGATACAGGCAACGCGTACACAAGCGCCTACAAAAATGGTAATTCAAGTCTAGTATCTAAAGAATATGTGTAAAAATAACAAGATGGGAAGCGGAAAGTTCGGTTTCAACGCTAAGAAGGACAAAGTGGCAGTGAGTGATGCAAAGACTGAGTTTAGTGTTAAGGAAAAATGTCACAAAATACAGAAGAAACTAAAGACTGAAAAACAGAAGACTGAAGTAGACGCGCCCGAAAAGAAGATTTGGTGGAACCAGTGCAGTAGTTGTGAGTAGCTATAAAAATACTTACATAGGTAACTTACGTAGGTACAGATTCTCATAAGCGATCAAACGTAATTGCTCGGCTCCATTTAAAATACATTTACCTCTAGATTACGTTTATTAACACTGAAATTATATGTAGCTAAAGTGTCTGTTATTAAAATGTTACCTTTAAAGGGTTTTTTTCTGCGTCCTGTATTAAACTGCATTTTAATCTTAACAGAAGCTTAATGGTCATTGTTTAACGATAAATTTTAAGAGAATAATGCTTTTAGTTTTTAAAGCGTAACCTTCAAGCAAATTGATGATGCAAAAAAAATAATCCGCAGTAGTACTTATTGTGCCTTGTCTCGCCCCCATTAAAGGTTCCCATCGTCCCTATTGAAGGCTGAGTAGACTCTATTGAAAAGACAGAGGCCCTTCAAAGGCCGACAAGCTAGTTACGCCGTTTGAATTGACAATGAAGGGAAATTGGAGCACCACATCAAGGTTCCAACTTTTGAAATCGCAGGTACCTATAGAATGGTCTAGGGAATCGGGGTCGGCCACGCCGTGACCTTAGACGTCACCTTCATTTTATATTTGAGCCCTTCTAATATGTACTTGTAATGCAGATTTCGACACTGACTTTTGCGATTAGTACTGCCCTTAATCACTTGACAGATTCGTTATGGCTCACGTACTCGGCACAAGAAAATTATCATAGCGTTGCGAAAATTGTTATTATTTTGATCAGTAGACGGAGTGTAAGATAATTCTTAACCTAAATCAAGTCCTTTTCACTCATCCGTTGAGAGTGTAGTTACAATAATTGCTCCATTAAAAAGCTAGAAACTTACTTTCAGTTAACTATTACTATTATTGTCATATATGTACATAAATATCTCCGTAAGTGTGTCAGTGGAAAGCGCGAGAGATTCCCGAGAAATCTATGCGCTAATGCGAACGTCGCACGCGCCCCCCTGTTTCCACTTTCTAAACTGGCGAGACTGCGCGCGCGTTTTATAGTTCAGGAACTGATGCCATGAAAGTCGCTGCTCTGACATTTCCTTGTACGTCGACGTTCTCACGACGTTGATCTCATGGACCTATAAAAAAAGTCGGACGGATTCTCATCAACAAAATACTGTGACATTAGGATACACCAGCTTGCCTGTACGTACAGGCCGGCCTGTACGTACAGGCAAGCTGGTACACATTCACACCCTGTTACACCACTTCGAGTGCAAACTTCACACAGTTGACACATTTAAGCAGCGAAAAAACAACACGAATACGACATGTCTTGTGTGATGAAATTGTGTAAAAACCGTTCTGTTCGAACAAACAAAAATTAAGGAATCACATTTCACAGGCAAAATAATAATCCAATCACTTATTTCCCGACATTAAAATATTGAAATTAATTGAAATCAAACGTCATTCACTCGAAAAAATAATAGGTCAAAGACCAGTGTTCTCAGTTATTTACGTGGGAAAATTACCCGAAATATGGGAAATTAATAATAATTTTAGGACTTTTTAGTTATTTATTACGCACACTATGGAAATAAAATAATTTATCATAATAATTGTGTTTTAATGGGATATATTTTCATAGGCAAATTTGATCCTTCCCAAAAATGTGGAACTGCAAAATTCAAATTTTCTTACATTGATTTCAAGTCAGTGTCAGGTTGTATGTTAAAAAAATCTATCAGAGATAATAATAATATATTGATGATGCATAAGATTATGATTATCATATACACAAGATTCGTAATTTGTAACTGCGTGAATCATTTTTGATCAACATTATGTACATAACTACATACCCTGATACACTGACTTGCAAACAATGTAAGAAAATTTGAACATTGAAAATTTCGCGCCTACCTCAACGCATTCACCTTTCATTCTTTTAAAATGGCACGGAATAATTCTGTCTACATTTCCAAGTAACATCTGCCGATCTATGTTTTTCTTAAAATAAATGGGTAAAATGTTTTGGCTAACATGGCATCCCTAAATTCACTCACACAATAGACAAACGCCAAAATTTTGCGTCACAGTTTTGTTGTAGCGCGAGTTCCGTCCGCCTTTTTTTATAGGTCCATGGTTGATCTTTGATTAGAGCTCTTTCGAGTGGGCCATTCTTAACATGCAAAAGCAATTTGCTCTTTCAGCATTCGAGAATCGTCTCTTCAACCCCTTTATATTTAGTTTGTTCGACTCGTCAAAGAAAAGATGAAACTATTATTTTTATTTTTATCAGATGCATCCTAAAGACGAAAATAACGAGTTGTAACTTCATCGACATACTCCCCCGTAATCATGTCCTTCGGAAAATCATTATGGCCGTTTTAAAGCTACAAGGAATCGAAGTTCCCAAAAGAATGCGTCAATCTTCATTAGCTGCGTTGAGATTGACAACGAAGGTCGTTTCAGGCCGGCCATTATCGAAAGTACGCGCCCTAAGGGTCTTTTGTTACTTTTAATGGACACTGTCATTACTGCAACACCATCTTTGGGCATGACGATTTATTAATCAGGCTAGCGGACTGTTAATTTTAAATTTAACAATCCGAGATAATGTTGTGACGTATCGGTTAATGGATTCATTCATTTGGTAAACAATCGAATAAATTGGTATGACAATTAATAATACTAATGGGAAACAATTCAATTAGTAAAAGGGTGGTGGATAAGTTCTTGAGGTAGGTTCGGTAATTAATAGGAAATGATTTAAACTTTTTGACATAAACCGTGCAGTTTCCTTGGTCCTCATTCTATGTCATTATAGTCCCATAACAATTTGTCACGTCAGCTGTAAGTACCTATTACGTTATATCACACGCTTACCACTCTGTATTTCGCTCTCAGGTTTACGTAAACTTCTGTAGAGCCTCTAGATCTTTAATGGGTTATATTTTGTTGTCCACCTGTAGGTTTTACAGATTCTTCCGGATTTCTTAAGTCAACTTTTTAAAATTTGTTATTTCTTATCAATACACGGCCTTTACAAGAGTCTATTTTAAACCTTAGAACAAAGACTTTAGTAGTAAAGTACAGATTTTATGGGATGAACCTTGAGCTATGCAAATCAGTCTTAGGTACTAAACTAACTTCAGACTTAATTGTTACACAGGTAGGTTTGTTGCTTCAGTACTTAACTATCTATCCCTTTTACCCAGGTACTAATGTATTATGAATGACACATTTTTACGTCCTGGACAACGTAGTGTAGGCAGGCCTCTTATTGATGGACCGACGATCTTGTGAAGGTCATGGGAAACACCTGGATGCGGGCAGCACAAGATCAGTCATTGTAGAAATCCGGGGATCTATGCAGCAGTGGACGGAATTAGGTTGACACGAACGAACGCTTTTCGCAATTCGCGTTCGCCTGTGCCGGCTTGGATGCTGTTTTGAATTCCATTTGTGTCAGTAATACCCGCACCGCAACGCAGCTGACTCAGTAGTCAGACATGCGACCTACTAGGCAACTGTCATCCATAAAGCATTTCCGAAAACGTTGTATTTCTTGTTGCAGTGAGCGAAATAGACCAATACCTGTGGATGGTGGGGGGTTCGGCGGGTGCGCTCGCGCTGACAGGCGTCGCAGCCGCCTCCGCCTTCTACCTCAGCACGAGGCCGAAGCCAGAGAAGCCGCTGGTCACACTCCACGAGCAGAGCCTGCTTGAACCGGTAAGTCTAGAACTATGACAGACAGCCTTCATTCGTTCGTTTCAGCCAAATGACGTCCACTGCTGGACAAAGGCCTCCCCCAAGGTTTTCCACACAACAAAAACGTATTATGTCTGTTATGCTGTCGATTGTCCTAGATATTTGTTTGCTAGACCAAGAACTAGGAATCGCTTCTCAGTTGTCTTAGGAGAAACTTTTTTCTGACTTTCTTTTAATGCTTTAAAGCTTTCTACATGGCAAAAATTTTACGAAGAGTGTTTTAAGCTGAACATCACAAAACAACGACTTTAGGCGACCACAGCCTTTTGTTGTAAATTCGTTAAATTAACAAGCCTTAATACTTGAAAAATGCGTTAATAACCGCTTTTTATAATATTTTTTAACAAATTGCCGTACCGTTTTGTGCGATACTTCAAAACTTGATTCTGGTTAGTATTATTACTGTTTTCTACAACTGACTTTGCAACATAATCTAAATAGCTATTTTACGTTGAATTGTATTAGGCTGTTTTTATTGCCACCTTTATAGCATACGCTTAGATCTCGAAACTGTAAAGTTTTGTATACTGGTTATTTTCAGAGCAGTGACCTCTGCTATTTGAATTTGAATTTTGTTTTTTATTAAATTCAACTTTCCACTGTAACACTAGAATTACGCACGTGGCAGCTAACGTATTAAATTGCTTTTTAGAAAATGACTGTAATCGTTCATTGAAACAAGAACGATTTTCTTAAAGGTATCTATTATGTATTTATCCTCTTAACACGTGACATTGTTTACATTATTTTCCATTATGTACTACGATATTTTAATAGTACATAGTAGTACCTACGTTATTAGGAACTTGTTTATGTACGAGAAGACTGGCAGTGGCAAAAACCACAAACATAAAACCCCTTTATATTCTTACTAGCGGCCGCCCGCGACATCGTACGCGTGGATCCCGTTTTACCCCCTTAGGGGTGGAGTTTCACAAAATCCTTTCTTAGCGGATGCCTACGTCATAACATCTACCTGCATGCGAAGTTTTAGCCCGATCCGTCCAGTGGTTTGGGCTGTGCGTTGATAGATCACTATGTCATGTCAGTCAGTCAGTCAGTCACCTTTAAGTTATAGGTAGGTACCTACTATATTTTATTTGGAAAAAAAAGATGGCAGAATTTAAGTTAGGTATATTCTTATTGCAGAATGTAAGTACAGAACAAGTGAATTAAAATGTGAGGCGTGCATCGTCGTATCTAACGATTAGACTGGCCAAAGATAAAAAAGATACTACAGTCTGATTCTGCTAAAACCATAGTTCACAACCGATAATGCCTTTGTTGTGTTGTAAATACAGGTGAATGACCGACAATGCGAATAGCAGGTGATTATTTAAATATAATACCTGAGAGATACAAATAGATATCTAAATGGGAAACAGCACGAGCGACAAGCGCAATATTTTGATAATATAGCTCAATAAATTAGCACATTTAATACAGATATTCGTTTGTATTATCAAATAAAATATAGCCTGAATAAATTTATTGAAATTAGCTGTTGACACTGTATTTATAGGCATAGGAATAGAAAAATAAAAAATACTTCGAAATTAAAAATAGAGCAATCAAGTTGATTTAGCGGCTTTAGATTATTATCAGGTGTAAATAAAACAGAAAATTATTATATTTTACTTTTATTTTATTAGTAGGTAAGATGTTTCAACTATGTTACAAATATTTGCATGTTACATGTCACAAGAAATCAATTAAGTCCTAATTATTTTATCAACACCTACGTGATTGAAAAATAGATGTCCGATTGTGACGAAAGGGAACCCCTATACCGCGGTATCAAAGTTGAAGTTGCCCTAATCCGAACGGGCGGTCGAGAGTTGGCAAAGCGCATCCCAGAGCGATATTTTTAACTCATTGTACCACGGGCAGCCCTGGACGATACTCTGCTGTCAGAATACAGAAGTCAGCGAAAGTGATGGAACGCTGAACTTTGGCAAACGCGAATACCACCGGAATCAGGAACCCTAAAAGTGAAAAGTGTATCAAGTGAAAAAATTAAAAAATTTACAACCATGGTTGCGCAATATATCGAAGCATAATTCATATAAACGGTGCATTTGTGGTGTGTTATAAGTTCAGAAGTTTGCAACGATGGCGTGCTGCGATTGCTGCGTCGGAGTCCCTCCGATCCGACCTCCGATAAACCTTAGCGAGCAGTCGGACTCGCTCAAAGTGAGTCAATTAACAAAGCAAGTTACATTTTGATGAATGGCCACCTCAAGGTTGTGGGATCCCGTGATTATTCATCTGAAACTTTTATGGGGCTTTGATGAATGGATCTCACGTAATCACGCTCTTAGAATCACTTGCATTGGCCGCGGATGACATAATATTTTTATTGCAGTTTTGAAAACGATTTTAATTGGCTACAAAGTTTAATAAAATGATAGAGGTCGGAACATTGTTAGATGTTACTCATGCCCGATAGTTGGCAGAGCTCCGTAGCATTTAGAACCGGCAAATGTAGGCCCACTATCGAAGACATGAACAGATTACAAATAGAAAGAAATAACAAGTTCTAGACTATTCTATTCTATTATTATCAAAACATTAAATGAGTTGGTCAGTACAAAATAAACAAGCATGATGAAAATAAAATTGTAACAAAAACTGAGTTGCGACTTTATTTAACGACGTGAAAATTTTAAATAAGTACTTCCATGACACTTTATTATCTGGCTTCTCAATACACAATGAAACTATTAAGGTACATTGTATTTTACGATCTTAATTTTGTGGCCAATAAATGATCAGTTTTATATTTTTGCTGAGGTAATTTATTGACGTTGAATAAGAATAAGTTGATGTTTTATTTAAACAGCATTCTCTTTGCCTCCTTAACTTTCAACGTAAGGGGTTAAGGTTAAGTTACTACACCAATTTGTATTAATTGAGAAATATTTTTTCATGACACATTTTTGTACCGTTAGCGTTATTTTTCTTAAAAACCTCATAATCATTATGAATGTAGTTATTAAATTCTGAAGTAAAGTAAGAATTAAGTCTATAGGGTTATTTATATTCCTGAAATTTTTCGCGATTGAATCAATGAAAATTTTTGAGCCACAAGTTTTTACGATCTATTAGAACATCGTTTTGTATATTTATAGCAAAACATCATTACAATTTTACAGCTTATACCTACTTGGATTGATATCGAGCAAATAGCATAATATTTTTTAAATATTACTTTTAGATCAAGACAGCATAAATTATTATTTCCGCTGGATTTTACTGCAATATGATTAAAGTGCCAGCGTATTTATAAACATCATCGACCTAAATATAATATTTTCTTTACGAGTGTTTAGTCGGTGTTGTGACTGATCTACAAACGAAGTCTAATAGCCGAGAAATCGATGATTGTAATGGCGCATAAACTTGTGAAATTGTAACGATTCGTATTTTGTGGGCACTGTGACACGGAACAGACGACCTTAGAGTTGGAACACGTTCGCAAATGTCCCAAATAAAATACCTCGTAAATCGAGATTAAGCGTTGACAGAATGTTATGGCTTCAAAACAAACAACACAGAAATATAATAAATCGCAAGCTAAATAGATCATGACATGTTTCAGCCCTTTTCGATTCGGTCTGAAGATCACAAACACGCTGTTTACGCAGTCAAGTGGGCAGAGCATTAAGAATTATTTTGTTTTACTTCATAATGCGTTGCAGTTATTTTTATTTTATGATATTGTCACTTCTTGTGATGCTAAGCGTCTTACTGCGGACGATTGTTAAATAAAAAAAATATTTGCCATATCAAAGTTATAGCTTCAAATTGTAACACTATTCTATCAAATCGTATGGTTTTTGCGAGTAATATGCATTTAATGACTTAGGGCGTGTGTTTCTATCCAGTCTGGATTGTATCCGGTCCAGCACCGAATCGGGTAGAAACCAGCTCGTTAACACACGCCCTTAATATGATGAAGATTAAGATTTGAGTTAGTTCGTCTGTATTACGCATCTAATGACTTTTTTAGAGAGAACGTATAAAATATTGTGTAGGGCTAGAGTACAATGCGTCACCAACAATAGCACAATGATTCAAAATTTCAGACTGAACTCAAAGATCATTTGGCACCAGAAACACAAAACTACGGCAATTTGTGAAAACACCATTATTTCTTATCTTATTTTAGATGCGAGATATTTGTAGATTGAAATTATCTTCCGAAAAAAATTAAAAACACTTTATGTCAAATAAATCAATTCGAACAAGGCTTGATAAATAGCTCGATGAAATCTACGATTGTGTTAATTTTGTTGCCTTGGAAAATAAAATAACTCAAATTACATAATAATTTTCGTTAAATGTTTATTTAAATGTCCTTGTTAAATTAATCGGATCGTAATTACAATTAACAATAAGTATAACGTAGAACTCGTGATACAATATTCATGCCCCTAAGTTTGATACTTCACCTTACCAATATGAGAGATAAATATTACGTAGGCGTGATCTGATTGCCATAATATCATTGATTCTTTCTAAAATAGAAACTGAATAAACATTACCCGACTGCAGTATAGTATGAATAATGCAGTTACGTCACTTTTCAATGAAAAAGGATTTTCATCTGAAGCTACTTCAACAACTGAGAATAATTGATTGATTGAGGCTCTTAATAAGAAACAAAGCATACATTTCGAGTAAAACCAAGTATAGATGGCCTGTGTTTTTTAACTATATTATTGGGACCAATCAGAGTGTTGTTCAAAGTTCATAGGAGCATCAATATAGCCCAATAAGTATTCCAACAAGGGTGGGAAGGGTGATATTGCCAATGGCAATGTCAACGACAACCGTCAATCACCTATATCGAGTAACGTCGGCTTGACGACCCAATTTTGATGACAGATCTGTGACTGTAGTATTTTCTTCATTTAATAACTTTCGATTAGATATTTTATCTTATTTTGTAACTATAATAATCATGACAATTTCTTAGAGTTTTACTATGCTTTCTGTCTGGTTTATATCCATTTTAGCTTAATTAAGTATTGTACTATACTTCGCGTATCTGATCTTTGATACTAGAAAATTCTCTCTGAATTTCTTATCCTCTTGTATTCAGTGATCCTAATCATAACCAATATCTATAAATTGGCAGTACACCCACATTGCTTATTAACCAATGTTCAGGCTTAACATTCCACCTCGCGGAATATCTAATGGATGAAGTAATCGAATATCTCGGATTACTTATCATTCCGTGGTTTGATGTGCCTTAATCTCGTGAAAATAACTGCTTGAAATACTCGAGACATAAAATGGTTTATTTTTGATCCGATCTCGTGATTCATTGTGATTTGAAGTTTATTTTATGATATTTATATTGGCTGTAAATTCTGCTCGTCGTGTCGCTGGACGGAAGCTGATCTCCACTAATCCGATATTTTACAATTCGATAAAGAATTTATTCCGATATGGTGATTTATGTTGACGATACTCTTTTTATATTATTTTGGCTCATTGGTTTAACAATACTTTATGGTAGAATTGATAAAAATACTAATAAAAAATCTGTGGTTTGCGTCCAATTAATTTTCCGTTACAAATTCTGTTTTTTTTTCATTACCCACACCATCCAATATTTAAATCATATGATAAGTAACAATACCCGTATAGTTGTAAAAATAATATACGCCTTTGTAATCATTGTAGGATGATGAATGGCCACGTATAATAGGAGTAGACTGTAGAATCCCGTGACATGCTTGATCGGGTGCCAATATCTACGCCGCTGACAGCACAAACGATTGACGTATGTCATTTATCAGCAAATTAAAATTAAAATACCTAGTGCTATGCTGTAATTATTCAACGCATTTATTATACATGAGATACATTTCTCATTACATAATTTCTTTTCAATAATAATAATCACACATTATTCAGTCTCTATTACCTAGGCGCAGACCACCGACTTTTAGTTGACCGATAGTTGGATCCGATTCTAATTTGTATGAAGAATCGTCGATACCAAATCAGTGTACCTAATGTGCGCACTTTCATATGTACATGTCCAATATCCATACTGATCAACAGCCCGACTCCACTCAACTATCAGCCAACTAAAAGACTGTGGTCTGCGCCTAGGCTTATGATGCCGTCACAATTTCTTAATGTTTTTGTGTTATGCTATTTTTTACTGTCAAGGTCCTAGACTAGACCCATTACGATTTCCAAATGGGATAATCAAAATCATCTGTGGTGGTGATACGCAGTTTAGTATTAATTAGCTGGGACACTGTAGCCTTGATTCTGTGAATACTCCAAAAAGAAGTCAGATATTATGTCAAATAATAAACAATTCAATCCCATCGGAATCCTGTTGTGCCCCATATATTCTTATCAATAAACATGATTTCATTGTATATTCCTTGGTCTTCATATGTCACTAACGTAAGTTAAGTTCGTTAAGCAAAATCAATTTTAACTTACGTAAGCTAATAAGACTAGGTTATCAACAGAAATTACTTTGTTGTTGATTTGGTCGTTTCCAGTATACGAGCTTTTATAAAATATTTTGCTTTCGCTGCTTACTAACAACTACAAGAATCTAATATTAGTATTGGTAGATTCAAAATTATCATTTCAATTTCAATGAAAACCCATAACAACAAAGTGGTAAGCCGTTTACAACAGCTGTGTTTTCTCAAATAAGTATGTATGCGGAAACGGCTGGCTAGTCGTCGCTACAATGTCAACTATTTCGGAGACACCTCGCCTCGGTGCCAAGCGCTGCATCACCGAACGCGCCCTTCACTGGGGTTTCCTACTCGTACTATAAGAAACGTATGTGAATTTCATAAAAAGCCAATCTGAATGTGACATGTTGTGAGAGCTAAAGAGTTTTATAAATCTTCAATAAAATTCCCATTTCTCCTCGTTCACAGAAATTTCTAGAATCGTAGAAGTGCTATGTAATGGAAAAGTCGTAAAACTGAATGAGATCTTTAGCTGAGTTCTCTATGTGAACTAAAATAGAGAAACACGGGCCTCAACGCCACATTTTTTAAATAAGTCATTTTTGATTATGTACTAATAACGGCTTTAAGTTTCTGAAAAACATTCTCCATGTGAACTCGAAAAGTTATATCAAATTCTCATTTACTCCCCGATGTCAAAATTTTCCAGAACAGATCTACGTAATTTCGAGATAAACGACGAATGAAATGATTATGGATAATACTATACAATTTAGAAAAATCTTTTCAAGATTCCGAGGCGCTTGGAAAAAACACTGAATGAAATCCAAAAACTTTATTAAATCTCTAAGAATCTAGAAGTAAATACTCTCGATTATAACTCGCGTAACAGTCTACGTCGGGAGACACAAATAGCGTGACACTGTCGGCATGTCACACAGTTTTTATAAATACTCGGTCAGAAACGCCACATTTTTCACTTGGCGTCGTGTGACCAATTTCCTCGCGACCTTGTATACTTTATTCAAGATCAAGTTCTTCGATGCTTACCACTTATTCTGTTTCTTCATTACTTGTGCCTTTTGAAATTACATAATTTTCCACATTATAAACGTTAATTCTTGAAGCTTAAATGCATGCACTGATGTAATTAGGATAATGTTATTATTCTCAAACATCTGCTTGGCAATTACTTGTTGATAATAGTCCTCTTAATCTTGCATCGTTAATATCTCTCAACTTGTGTTATCGGATAAAATCTTATTATTAGGGGTTTTATAGCGCGTTAATGAGCTATTATAAGTATCGCGAGGATCTGAAAATGAGCTTTAAATATGTATCGCTAAGAATAGAGAGAGCTTTTGTGGTTTCTTTGTATCAAGTTTTACATTAGCAATTTAAACCATTGAACATTTCATTCTAAAAATGAACATACGTAAAACGTTATAGGATTAAATATAACAAACACATTGTAGATAAGGTAACGAAGTGAGAAGCTTTGGCACATTCATCGCGAATATCAGATCTCGATCTCGCGAGACTGTTGACCGTTTCATAGAAGCCACAACAAGACAGTTGAACGCCCTCAAAACCCACAAAGTACTCTACGTTTGCACAGTTTATTACCATAATGACATAACAATTTATACAGCATCAATTTGCAGCCAAATGTTTTCGTCTTTCCCACCGGTGACTTTGACCCGTTCATCGTTCCATTTATCATTGTGCAAACTGTAATAATATACCGTAACGTGTAAGAGTGCTCTATCCTCAAGTCGAGTTTCGGAGTTAGTGGGCCAAATATGTCATTAGGTTAACGGAGAGTTGTTTGAACATACTTTAGACACGGTACTGGTTCAAAACAACAATTTTAAGCATTCTATTTGGTCACGCAATCTAATGCACTGTTGTATTATTGTATTTTTCTTTATCTTTAGTTAAGTTTTAAAAGGGCATCCTAATAATATAAAAAATAGGACGAACCACACACAAGCCTTGTTAATTAGATTACAACTGATTAGTTTGCTGTTTTTACAAGGTTTCTGTGCAATGGCCTAAGTATTATGGATAAGTGTATTATCAAATCAAAACATGTCCGTAAACTATACTACCTACGTATTATATTTTATTTTACTTAAAGTTTATTTCTATCTTTATAGGGACCTGAAATGGTGCGCGTATCAAAATTCTACAAAGATGCTAAAAATGGTCGCTATCTCCGCTATCTACATGAAGACACACGCACACTATATGAAACTTTCCGAAGAGGCGTCAAAGAATCAAGTAAGAACTTCTGTTTTACTATTTATGAAACTTGTTCTAATAAATACTCCTTCATCATTAGTCTTGAGGCGAACCAGACCTCTATCATTATGGTTCTTGGTAGATATCTCATTGCCTGTAGCCGTGGCTGTAGTATTCACACACAATTGCAAAGCAGGGAGTGCCCCAAGGCACCATTCTAAGCCCACGTCATTTCCCTCCATTTCCGCTCGTTTGCGATAAATACGATAATACCCGTGTATTACAAAATATTGTTAACATCATTCACTAACTGGTTCGCGGGGTACAGTTAAACGTAATTTGTGCCACTAGAGTAGCCGAGACAGTTTCTTTTTGTAATTTTGTTTCTCAGCTCTGTAAGTTACTATAAAAATAAAGCAAACGCATACAGATACATTGTATCCTGTGGAATATTCCACTGCTGACTCGAGTTTCTCAAGACTATTTTACGAGATTGACTGAGCGATAAATGAGAACGTTTATTAAGGGCGTTTATTTGATTATCTTGCAGATAATGGCAACTGTCTGGGTTGGCGTGAGGGACCAAATAAGCCCTACGTGTGGCAAACATACAATGAAACCTTGCTGCGAGCGAAAAACTTCGGCTCTGGGCTTATATGCCAAGGGCTTGCTCCAGGGCAGAGTACTTTCGTGGGTAAGTGTTTAACAAGCTTTACTTAAAGTTTAATAATACATATTACCTACTTTGTATAAAGCTCATTTAATTTTAACATGATTTAAGATATTACATTCTTAAGTTTTATTTAAAAGTATTATGCAAAATTTTGTGGTTTTATTATGTTCTCATTTGTTTTTGTATGTGTTATAGCTCTTGGTTATTTTATTTACAGGTATTTATTCACAAAACTGCCCTGAATGGGTCATGACAGAACAAGCTGCCTACTGTTATTCAATGGTCATTGTGCCATTGTATGATACGTTAGGGGCTAACGCATGTGCCTTCATTGTTAATCAAAGTACGTATTATACCTTTGAATCCTTTATTCAATGTTTATATTGTAATCCAGGAATTTCAATGTTAAGCTGTCAGTGTGTTTTTCCTCCTGTTTTCATCATCATCATTTCAGCCATAGAATTTCCACTGCTGAACCAATGTTCAGGGAGGCCCATGCCTCCTCCAATGATTTCCATAATGACCGGTTGGTAGTGGCCTGCTTCCAGTGCATACTTGCTACCTTCCTGCTATCTTTACCTCCAGTTTTACTCAATTCAAAATGTTTTTTCCAGCTGAAATGACAGTAGTAATATGTGAAGACGACAAGAAAGCGAATCTGTTGTTGGACCAGTCGCCTCGCTGCCTGAGGAAGCTGATCACAATCAAAGAGGTGTCCCCATCAACACACCAACGAGCCAAGAGCCGTGGTGTGGAGATACTAAAGTTCAGTGATGTCGAAATACAGGGGGCGCAGAAAGACCATCCTTGTATCGTAAGTTTCTTCTTTCATCTCTGTTGATATGTCAAATAAAAAAAATTCTATTTCCTTGACGGTTGATTGATTGTTGATGAAGTCTTTCTTGAAGACTTGTTGATAATATTCCTTTTCATAGTGACATCGATATCAACTTTAAAAAAAAATATTTCTATTCTCTAATTTGCACTGCTGAAGATTCCCTGTAAAAGTGAATTCATGTTATTTTAAGTACAGACATTTTTGTAGGAAAAGCACACTAATCACCACGGCACAAGATACTATAGTTTAGCTTAATATACCGTCGTCTGTACCATGCCTTGCAAATCAGATAAAATTAATAGGTTTTAAGTTACATAAAACAATGCTAGTTGAGTCATAGACAGGTAGCACGTATGTGTTACGGTCGTGTTGAGCAACAATTACCGTGGTGTCCCATATCGGGCTTCCGTCGCTTCTTTGAATACGATACGACGAATTCCAAACGCAACGTGATAATGTAAACAAACATGAACTACTCTAGAAAGATCAAGTTCAGGCTATTGCGTGTCTGAATTATTAAAAGGCATTGGAAAAACGCTTAGATCGCAACACAGTTCCATTTTGTTCGATTGCATTTATTTAGTTTCAACAAATTCCAAAGCATAAAAGTGTGCAAAATTCATATGCAAATTAACATTTACGTCTATCTGTAGCGGAATGAACTTAAGTTCATATTGCCTACGAGAAATTTTAATAAATTGCATAAGGAAAACCCGTCTGGTAAGTGCATTTCTACGAAGCGATTACACGCGTCGGATCTACAGGGCAAAAATAAAAAGCGACGCGCGCGCATACGATGTAAAGGGAATAGCGCGGGCCTTATCAAACGGGCCCCGAGGGCTTAAGCTGTTTGAAGAAGCTTTGCGATGCTTTATTGCTTTGTGTTTATACGATTTGCGCTAATAATAGGCAGGTTTTTTGCACCACAAAGCATCTAAAGACAGAAAAGATTATCTTTGGGGCCGTCCATATATTACGTCATTCTAAATTAGGGGGGGGGGGGGTTGGTCGGGGGNGGTCTGCGAATGACGGTAAATGATAGATAGGGGGGAGGGGGTGTTTCGAAATTGACGTCATTCTTATGTATTTATTTATAGTTTATTGTTCACGTACAACAAGATTATTTCTGAAAAGAAATTTCTTCCAGCACACCTAGTAAGTGAGACTGCAAATGTGAGAGGCGGCTAAGGCGCGTACAATACCAAAATAACTCATAATAAACATACATAATGCAACATAGATGTACATAAATACAGTAATAACTACAGATAAAATACTCTAACAATAATATTACATATAATACTAGCTGCCCGCCCCGGCTTCGCCCGTGATACTTACATGTATTATACACTAGCTTTCCGCCCGCGGCTTCGCCCGCGTGGAATTTTGTCTGTCACAGAAAAACTTTATCGCGCGCGTCCCTGTTTCAAAAACAGGGATATAAACTATCCTATGTTCTTTCCCGGGACTCAAACTATCTCTATGCCAAATTTCATCGAAATCGGTTGCGAGGTTTAAGCGGAAAAGCGTAACAGACAGACAGACAGACAGAGTTACTTTCGCATTTATAATATTAGTTGGGATAGTTGGGATATAAACCTTCCTTAAGAATCACTCTATCTATTAAAAAATAAAATAAAAGGTGTTTCTATAACCAAGTGTTTTAATTTTGTCAAACTGGTAAGGGGTCATCCATAAAGTACGTCACACGTAAAGAGGGGGGGAGGGGGTCGACAAAGTGTGAAATGGTGTGACAAGGGGTGGGAGGGGTCCTATGTTTCGTGACATCACATTTCTAGAGGTACTTACTAATCGCGTAATTTGAAATATAAATTAAACTAAAAAATACCCCCACCACTTAAGCACAACTCCGTCGAAGTCGAAAACCTAGGAGAGTTTTAATGGGCAACCAATGAAGCCATTAAATCAATAAAATCTTTTGTGGGAATTTAAAATCTAATTCTACTGGCCTATAATGCCGCCAAATGCACCGTACCTCGCGCGTGTTTTTATTGTTTCTATTTGTTGCTATTTTTTGTTAATTTAATAATTTTTCGATGTGAAATTGCAAAACATGTGACGTCACACTAGGGAGGGGGGGTTTCAGAAATGTGACCACCTGTGACAAGGACGGAGGGGGGTCAAAAAATCATGAAATTCGTGTGACGTACTTTATGGATGGCCCCTAATGACGNACCTGTGACAAGGACGGAGGGGGGTCAAAAAATCATGAAATTCGTGTGACGTACTTTATGGATGGCCCCTAATGACGTCAATTTTGGGAGAAGGGGGGGGGGGTCATTAAGAAATGACGATAGGATGATTGTAGGGGGGGGGGTCTAAAATCTGAAAAAATCGATGACGTAATTTATGGACGGCCCCTTTGTCAGAATACTTACTTTGTCAGGTACTCCTATTAGCTTTGATTACTAGCAAGATGTAGTTAAACTGTCATGCAGATATGAAAAAGTAGTTTTTTATAAAACCTACCTATATTGATCCGATATCACGACAAGGCAAACTAACTACCAAGTTTAATTCAGTGCAGTAAAGATATCAGCTTCATAGCTCTAACGCTGCGCTTAGATTAGCATCCGATTATTCAAACCTTGAACACTGTATCGAATCGATTCATACACCATGCATATAATTATCAAATGTCTATTATTCCAGCCACCAAAACCGGATAGTATATGCACAATTTGCTACACATCGGGAACGACGGGTATGCCCAAGGGCGTGATGTTAACGCACGAGAATGTAGTCGCGTCGATGTGCAGCGTGATAATGCAGTTGGGTGAGCACCGGCCGGCGAAGACCGACGTCATGATATCCTTCTTGCCCCTGGCGCATATGCTGGAGCGATGTTGCGAGGTAAATATAACTATAACGAATAATAGTAATAACACGGACAAATAATACTAGTGTAATAATGTAGAAAATGGAAAGGATTTTATGTGATAATGCGTGACGTGTGACGTAGTTTGTTGATTGGGTAAATACCGAACAGCCAAGACCGATGTCATGATATCCTTCTTGCCCCTGGCGCATATGCTGGAGCGATGTTGCGAGGTAAATATAATGAAACTGATAGGAATAATGTTCAACAACAGCACATCATTATTATTACATTCTTGTTGGCAAATAGCAACTATTGCAACTAGATAAGATACCACAGTGTAAACCTTGATGTGCTATTGTCTCTACATGTAATGTGTGATAGAGTGTGTAGTATAATAATGCAGTTAGGTGAGCACCGGCCGGCGAAGACCGATGTCATGATATCCTTCTTGCCCCTGGCGCATATGCTGGAGCGATGTTGCGAGGTAAATATAACGATAAAAACGTGGAATAATGTACCTAGATGTAAAAAGGATTTTATGAGATAGTTCGAATGCAATCTGTGTAATGTGCGACGTAGATTGTTGATTGGGTAAATACCGGATAGTCAAGACCAATGTCTTGATAATATCCTTCTTGGCATACCTAGTTTTAAAATTTAGTTGATTGGGTAAATACCAGACAGCGGAGACTAATGTCATGATATCCTTTTTGCACCTTTGCGCATGCTTGGGAAATGTTTTACAGAACTAAAAAATGTAAATGTAAGTAGGTAATAAATAAGGTTTGTATGTAGTTAATGTGCACCGTGAAATGCAGTTGGTTGGGTGAATACTGACCTGCAAAGATTGCCGTCATGATAACCTTTTTGCCCCTGGCGCAGTTGCTTGAGCAATATTGTTTAGTGTATCAAAAGTAGACCGTAACTATCTAGTAGGTATACCTTACTAACATTCTAATCACAAAATGCGGTCAGTGTCTTAATGCAATTGGCCACAGGCCTGCCAAAACTTATGCTCGAGTCATATTGCCCATAACAAACTAATCCAGACCAACTGCATTCATAATCTAGCAAGATTATTATATTAGTGTAAGCTAAACCTTAAACTAGGTACATTATTTCGGTTCACTGCCTTGAAATGATGACATTATAATGTAGGAATGTCATAACATCAGGAATTGTGGCAATGCCAAGAACTACATGTGTACGGATTCCATTTGTAATGCACCATGATCCAATGCGTTACCTACTGTGCATTTGTGTAGACATTGACAGATGAATTCATTTAGCTGAAAGGTATTGGGATTTGAGGAAAATTCCCGGTCTATTTATATTCGGTAAATGACTTTGAATGAGGAGAGGTATTTAGGAATCAAAATATTGAAAAGTCATTCAAAATCTGGTCTAAAAAGAGTAAGAAATAGCAATGTATTTTTCCACCAGGCAAAGGGATATTAAAATGGTGAAACTGCTATTTTTGTATGCTGTGTTATATACAATTTATGTTACTGGAGATTAAAACTGCCTTAAAGTATTTGGGAGGATGACTAACTTGTAGAATGTTTTTACGTGCTAACAAAGTTGAGGGTATCAGATAATTCGAATGTAGTAGAGACCTAATGACCTAATGATGATGTTCTAATTCTTAAATACTTACTTCCAGAATGCTCTCTACATGGTAGGCGGCGCTGTCGGCTTCTACAGCGGCGACATCCGCCGACTAGCCGACGACCTGAGCGCTCTAAAGCCTACAATGATGCCGGCCGTGCCCCGTCTCCTGAACAGATTGTACGACAGAGCGCAAGCGGAGATATCCAACTCGAGAATAAAGAAGTTACTGTTCAACATGGCGTTGTCAGCTAAGGAGTCTGAACTGAAGAGGTGAGTTTGTTCTTCTTAAATATTTTTATTACCGTGCTGCTTTAGTTCTTTAATGCTTTAGTCTCGCGTTACCGTGGTTCTGGAGTGGAGGTACCGGAAAACGCAGCGTAGGATGTCCACCCAGAAGGAAGACTGACAACCTCTTATAATAAGTAGTTAGCAAAAAGGATGCATGCCCCAACCAACCAGTTATTATGGAAATCATTGGGGGAGGCCTACGTTCTATGGCTAAAATTATGATGATGATGTGCTGCCTTGAAATTTATTCTTTCCTATTTCACTTAAGTTATGAAGACGTGGGGTCTTGTTCTATAAAAGACAAGATACGCTACTCTCAGTCTTTTCCATGTTCAAATCATGTTCCTCTCAAAATATTAAGCAGCTGTTTTTAAGCATTTCAGCTTTTAATTAATAACTCTCGGTAGATACAGTTTGTAGATTTGTAATTCGAGGTTCTTATATTTTCAGAGGAATCATTCGAGGAGACTCGATATGGGACAAGCTGGTGTTCCGCAAGGTGCGCGAAGGGATGGGTGGCCGGCTTCGCATCATGGTGGTCGGATCAGCACCGCTTGCTGGAAACGTGCTGACCTTCGCGCGGTGTGCACTCGGCTGTCTGGTTAGTGACGGACGAACTTAATTCTATTGCAATTTTTTTTTGTTTTCTTTATTTAAGTACACTCTAATCTATCTCCTTTAAATAGCCTTAAACACACTACAAAACATCACAGCACTTTACTCACACATTACACGCACATTACACACACAACACACACACACACACACACACACACACACACACACACACACACACACACACACACACACCTGTAATTTTTTTTGCTGGCAAATAAAATACTTTTTACTTTTTTTTACTTTTTTACTTTACATTCAGCAGTTGGTTGGTACTACAGCGGTCGGTATTATGGCCTGTACATCATATTCTCAAACATCGCGCTTTCTTGTGGTTGGCCATAAGTTTGCACAAATGACATTGGGAAATGAGCTAAAAATGTAACAATAACAATAACAACAATAATTTAATGTAAAATGACTGGATGAAAACAATAATTTAAAATAAAATAGATTTTTATTTTTCGACACCAAACAAGCGCGAAATTACTTACCATCACTATTTTGCTTTACCGAATACAAATCGATGTCCAAGAGCTCTTAAAAAGTAAGTTAACTAAGCTCACCCTATAGTGTACTCAAAATTCATCTCAGGGCATTGCGAGGGGACACTTTTGGGGACAAACCGGGTCGGTACCAGACGCGATATTGATCGTGTTGTGCCTTCCCCTCTGGCAAGGGCAACACTGGTGTATGGTGCTCTACTTTTTTGCGCAATGTTTTGATTAACTTTATTAATGTGCAAATAAATAAAATATATGAATATTAATAATTTTTCGACGCTTATCACAATAATCTGAGCGCACATAATTACAATACAACAAAATAGAAAAAATATTGCAGTTAACTAAACTGAAGTGAAAATCCGTTGATTATATGATTAAATTCCTGTTTCCTGTATAAAACCACATAAAACCTAGAGCACAATATTGGCACTCTGAATCTTGACTACAAGATTCAAATTTATTATGTCTTAATAAATCATCACCCATTAAACGTCAAAACTATAACGTGGTTGGTAGTATCTAATGATTGCAAATGAATAAATATTATTGCTAAAAACATCTGAAGGCAACAGTAGTCAAATCAAAAACGAAAATATACACACTTTGATCGTGACCAACAATAATTTTTATATCCTCCGTTCAAATAAACAAGCAATCAAAATATCCGTAATAAACTTCCGTTTATATTGGACTCATAAATACATCAAGTGTTACAGTTTAACATCCGATGCGATATTATCCCACGGCGTGGGAAATAAACGCTGGCTCAGAGTCCAGACGCACTCCGCTTTCATAATAAACAATCGAGTGAATAATTTTAATAACACCTCGTGATTTCTGAAGGCCGCGGAATCTGCTGATATTTCTGTTATATGGAAAATCGATATCATAAATTACGTAGGTGTTTGTGTTACAAATATCATAGATGGATCGCATTCAGCAAGGAATGAATATTGCAACTGATGAAATGGTGTAAAACCTATGATGATAAACAAAGGTTATTATTAGGTCTGCATTTAGCTATCTGTAGTCCTTAATGAGCTTGCCAGGTATCAAAGAACCAAACTTGGTAAGATAACCAATAACCATAACGTACGGGTGCAGGCCGTTGTATTTTGCACAAAACATAGCGAGCCCTCTAGTGGACCTGGACGTCTCTTAGGTCCCCATAGAGCCCATTAGATGCCCATCATCTAATCTACATTGCACGTTACGACACGAAGACATTATCAGATGGCATGATCTAAACCAGTGTCCTTAGCATTCTCCCAAAGCAGGCAGGCTACTAAGCAGTTGACCCTTTTGGTACAAAAATTAAAAATATTTTTTAAATGTACATTTTTGTAAAATAAGCGCTAAATAAAATCGTTTCTTTCTTTATTTCTTCTTTACATTGCTATTTCTTCTTCCAGATCGTCGAAGGCTACGGACAGACGGAGTGCACGGCGCCCGTGACTCTGACCGTGCAGGGCGACCACGTGCCGGAACATGTAGGGCCTCCCGTCGCTTGTTGCAAAGTGAAAGTAAGTGTATCTGGATGACGTTCTAATTTTTGGCTATCATCAGCAACAGCATCCTATGTTGGTTTTGATCGATTAGAAAATATAAAAAAATCATATCCTATGTAGTTAGGACACTGCAAGCATAGATCTGGTTGTTTATGCAAGGATAATTCCAGCACCTGACACTAGAGTTGTTACAGCATCATTGTACACCATCGCCGTACCAAAATAATCATATCCAATTGCGATTGCGGTCAAATGCCTGCCTTGTCTAGCATAAAAAAGAATTCAATTAGAACACTGCAAGCCTAGATCTGGTTATCTCATAACAAAAATAATTCCAGCATCTGACACTAGAGTTGTTACCAAGTAACAAGTCGTTTTATGACTAAATACCGATCTTCAATCTATCACTTCATTACTTATTCCCGCTACTGCAACTCCTGTAGCCAGATATACAGCTCGCCAGCCATTAATATCCAAATAGTGAAGACCTCTTCATCTTTCTTTAGACTTGAAAGACTAGATGTAAATTCGAATAATGGCTAACTAGGATTTTCTGTGCTCAGCCTCTCGTTGAACCATATTAAGTGTATATTCAAATTAAATAAAATGTTTAATTACCCTACCCCAGCTAGTGGACGTGCCCGAAATGGAATACTACGCGGCGCAAGGCCAGGGCGAGGTTTGCGTGCAAGGCGCCAATGTCTTCAAGGGCTACTTCAAAGAGCCGGAGAAGACGCGCGAGGTCATCGACCAGGACGGCTGGCATCACACCGGCGACGTGGGCAAGTGGCTGCCGGTGAGTTGATGTTCTTCTGTTTTATGATGACGTCAGTCGGGCGCCAACGTCTTCAAGGGCTACTTCAAGGAGCCGGAGAAGACGCGCGAGGTCATCGACCAGGACGGCTGGCATCACACCGGCGACGTGGACGTGGGCAAGTGGCTGCCGGTGAGTAGATCCTCTTTTGTTTTGTGATGACGTCAGCCGGGCGCCAATGTCTTCAAGGGCTACTTCAAAGAGCCGGAGAAGACGCGCGAGGTCATCGACCAGGACGGCTGGCATCACACCGGCGACGTGGGCAAGTGGCTGCCGGTGAGTTGATGTTCTTCTGTTTTATGATGACGTCAGTCGGGCGCCAACGTCTTCAAGGGCTACTTCAAGGAGCCGGAGAAGACGCGCGAGGTCATCGACCAGGACGGCTGGCATCACACCGGCGACGTGGACGTGGGCAAGTGGCTGCCGGTGAGTAGATCCTCTTTTGTTTTGTGATGACGTCAGCCGGGCGCCAATGTCTTCAAGGGCTACTTCAAAGAGCCGGAGAAGACGCGCGAAGTCATCGACCAGGACGGCTGGCATCACACCGGCGACGTGGGCAAGTGGCTGCCGGTGAGTTGATGTTCTTCTGTTTTATGATGACGTCAGTCGGGCGCCAATGTCTTCAAGGGCTACTTCAAGGAGCCGGAGAAGACGCGCGAGGATATCGACCAGGACGGCTGGCATCACACCGGCGACGTGGGCAAGTGGCTGCCGGTGAGTAGATCCTCTTTTGTTTTGTGATGACGTCAGTCTTTAAGGCTACTTCAAGGAGCCGGAGGAGAGAGTGTTAGTCATCGATCCGGCTCGAAGGACCAAAAATTGTCTCTCTAAAAGTCATTTTGCTTAACACATTAACACTAAACTATTAAGTGTCAGCTTAAAATACCACCATTTTAAGCTGACACGTGTATCAACGTGTTGTACTTTTCTGTTTCCCCCTCTCCTTGGCCTGATGTAATTCCTAAATAATTACGGTTATATCTCTTTTTTTGCAGAACGGCACACTAAAAATCATTGACAGAAGAAAACACATCTTCAAGCTATCGCAAGGCGAGTACATAGTTCCTGAGAAAATTGAAAATATTTACATAAGAAGTCAATACGTCGAGCAGGTCTTCGTGCATGGCGAATCTTTGAAGGTAATTATCATTTATTTTTCACAAAATATACATAAGTACTTATAAAGTGACACGTATTGCAAGAAGCTTAAGATTCATAATGAAGCTTGAGATATTCACAGAAATTATGTAATTATTTACATAATTTCGAGCAAAAAGTTATTATTATGCATGAAATATAATGTTTTTTGTGTCTTTGGGAAAATCATTAATTTTCGGAGACTTTTATGATAGGTTTGAATTTGATGATCTCTATAGTATACTCGTATTGAAGGCCTAGGTAGTTAAAATGAGCACGTAACGTACCTAACTGAAAGAAACTCATTTCTGCGAACACTTGGCAACCGTTTGATAGCGATTAATTACTGTCCCGATGACCCGTATAATCGATAACAATTTATTAGCATACGACAAACGCCAATGATTGAATTGAGTGTCGTTATGTAATAGAATAAATAAGTATTACATAACGATAGACGATATGGCTACTATAATCTATATAAATAAAAATGAATTGTTGTTCGTTAGTCTGATTAAAACTCGAGAACGGCTGGGCCGAATGAGCTGATTTTGGTTTTTAAAATGTTTGTCGTAGTCCAGGGTAGGTCTAAACGGTGAGCAAATAAGGAAAAATTGCGATGGCTTATTTATTGCCTTTAAGGCGGAACAGAGTTCGCGGGGTCAGCTAGTTAATTACTAAAAGTACAGACTAGATCATTTACTTGTAACAGAACAACCAGCCGTTCTATGAAATGTTCTAGTGTATAGAGAGATGCCACTCAGTGACGCATTAGAAATTCACACACACAAAGTAATCAAAATATGTGCTCATTATCCACTGCGGTATCAGTACTCAACGTTCGAATAATCCTTAGTACTACGCAAGCAATGTAAACTGTTTACATAATGACGTCGCTGCTGTCATCATTGCTGTCACGAGCAATGTGTTCTGTTTTTGGGCATATTGCTGGGACACCGGCCTCGCCCCCTTGTCACATCTCTCTTTAGTTTCTGCAGAGTAAATACAAATGAGTAGGTCATCTTCATAGAAACGCACCGAACGCGGTTTGTATGTGAGCGCGCCAATACGTATGCGGCACGCACGCACACACTGACAAAATTTAGCGTGGATTAGTGGGGTGTTACGTCGAATTTTGTCAGTGTCTCACATATAGGGTTGCCAGGCTTCCGGCTTTAGCCGGACATGTTTGGCTTTTTAGGGACTTGTCCGGCCAAATATTGCCTTGTCCGGCCTGTCCGGCTTTTGTTAGGCTTTTTATTTGGTTGCTGAGCCAGGAAAAAGTCGAGACTCAGAATCATATGAAGCGCACGCATCAGGATGTTGGTTAGCAACCGATGATGATAGTACTCACTCATGAGCTGACAATAATTGGGTAAAATGTCCGGCCAAATGAAGCACAAAGTCCGGCTTTTGTGATTTTGGACCTGACAACCCTACTCACATACAAACCGCGCTCGATGCGTTTCTATGAAGATGACCTACTCATTTGTATTTACTCTGGTTTCTGTGATCTGTGGTTCACCCTTTCACGAACCAAATATCTCTTTTCCCCCAGTCATGCGTAGTAGCAGTCGTGGTGCCAGATGTAGACGTAGTGAAGTGCTGGGCGCTGGAAAACGGCATCAAAGGCACCTTCTCAACTCTGTGCGAGGATAAGCGAGTCAAGAAGGTCATCATGGACGACATGCAGCAGTGGGGCAAGACCGCGGGCCTGAAGACCTTTGAACAGGTTAATAATAATAATTGCTTTATTAATCATCAGATATTCACAGGGTCAACCAACAGTCAACTTTCCCCCGGGACAAACTTGACCTTCACTGGTTGGGTTTTTATTGGCGGTCAAGCTGTAGATCCTGGCTACACAGGAGTTGCAGCGGTGGGAACGAGAGGTGGGAATAGTCCCGTAGACTTGAGCACGTAAATATAATAATAGTCAGACTTAGTACGCATTTCAGATGAAGATGTGATGACAATGACATCAAGGGCTGGCATCGACTAACAGAGCATTCGACAACATTACAAAACTTTGCTAAAACCATTTAGCCCTGAGAACCCTATTACTAAAATTCTACATAAATATGAAAACTATGCTTCAAAAAATAGGGTGGTAAATAAGTAACATCACAGGCGCCCTTTTGTTACCCGAAACCTATATGGCGTTTCATTGTCTCAAGAATATTTTACAAATACTTAACTATTTTATTCTTACAAAGTGTTGTTTCTCTCTTTCAGGTGAAAGACATTTATCTACATCCCGATCCATTCTCCGTGCAGAACGGCCTCCTCACCCCGACTCTGAAGGCGAAACGACCAGAAATCAGGAGCTACTTCAAACCCCAGATAGAGGACATGTACAAACAACTCGAATAACATCTACACACCGCCCCTAGCTTAGGGAAATGTAGCCTACACCTACACACAAACAGATCGCACTCCTGAGACTGTACTTGAGATTGAGACGAGCGTCTCAATGTTAAGCATTATGATTGTGATGGTTGCGAGGCAAGGATCGCTAACATTTTCCTACATTTAAATGTGCGGATAACTAAGGTCTGCCTTAGGGTGAAACGTGATGATTTTCAAGTCAATTTACTTATTTTAACACATACAACGGCTATGACGGATGAGTATCATTGAACATTTGCACACATAATACGTAAATGGTGTCCATTTAGCAGGGTTCTTACGTAAAATGGGAATTCAAGACCTCTACATGGTAACACGTTCGTTTGTCACCGTGTCAAAGACAGACTCACAGATGACATTTTTAAAGAAGTTTTCAGAAAGGGTTAAACTGTGGATCGGTTCATCCATATGGGCCTAAAAGACCTTACAGTGAATAGTAGTAAGAGGATAGTACTTAGGGTACTTCACTCGTAATTAACTGACAATATAAAAGTTGTTTAACGTGCAAAGTGAGAGGAACTTAAAGACCAATTTAAGTTTCTTTGGTCCTTTTAAAACAGCTATAATAGATTTTGTAATAAGCCTTAACAATATTGTTTTGACACTGCCTGTGAATAGGTAAGAATATATTTCTAGAACTCTATCCCCTTTATTCATACAAATCAAAAAGTCCTTTAAAACAAATTTTAAAAAGGCAATACGAGTTGAATAAAACCATACTATAATTGATAGAGGCTATAGACATGACAACACACTTTACACACATTAAGATTATGAAAAAGTAAAATGTAGTCAAAACTTTGAATGAGTGAACGATAGAAAAAACTTTATTATCATTCACTCGTTCAATATATTATTCCATTCACTCATACCAGCTTTTGAAAAAGTTTTCAAAATTTAAGTCATTTTCACTTTCTTAGTACTAAAAAGAGCTAATAATGCGAGTGCAACTGACTGACGGAGTTTTTGGAAGTTTCTCGTGCAAAATTGTAAATTTTATTAAGTCCTATCCCTTGTATATTGTATTCTATTGAATAATCCTCAAATATTACCTACATTTTTGCAATGGCAATAAAAAGGAACGGTGTTTCTTGCTCAGTCAATTAATATTATACTGTAATAAGCATTTGGCTCTTATCTCAAATATGTAATCGCATGGTACTTAGATCATTATCTTATTTGCCAGCTTTACATTTTTAAATGAAACCTTAAGCTTGGTACACACTGCAGCTAATGTGAGCAAAAATGAGCAAACTTATTACTGTTTATTTTAATTTAATGCTTTGAATTTAAGTAACACCCTTTTACGCATTTCTCTTCTCAATTGTAATTTTTAATGGCAGTGCTCATTTGGCTCATCTTGTTTAGTTCAATCAAGTGAGATAATGGAATTGCATAATATTCTATTACATACGATTCGCGAGTTAGATGTATCATCAAGGATTCTAACAATAAATAGTTTTTAGGTAAAATTGAGAGCAATATGTTTGAAGTAATTCACGAAACTGTAGGTCTTATGCTGTCCTGGTGAAAATAGCACGACTTATGTTTTTATTTTTTTTAACTTAGGCGTGTTTTAAACGTTTGAAATTGAGATCATAGTTTGATCAGTAATATGGAGAATTATTTTTGAGGCATTAGAATTCCAATTCGCTTACTATTGTTCAATTAACGATTTTTGCGTATTCTTGAACGAATTGGAACTTAGTGTTTTAAAAATACGTCTTATTGTATAGCAGAATTGAATGATTTCGGTGCATACTAATAGTCCCTAGCGTAAGTAGATGAAATACTCGTAAACACTTTATGCCGTGCCTTCTACCTAAATATTTTGTAATTCAAAAATAATAGATTACGCAACATTTTTATTTGTAAGGTGCAAGAATCAGCTGTTTTTTTCTTTATTAATTACGATAAGTAGAATTTTGTAATTACTGTAATGTTTCTTTTTCTCGTATAACTTTACTGTGTGAGATTGTGTTATGCTTTTGGCGGGGTTATGCGTTCTGGGAAATGTTTTGAGGCTCTAATTTTTTGTAGTATAGCTCAGCAGCGAACGTGCACACCCCGCTTTATTTTGAGGACGAATCTCGGTTTATGTTGTCTTGTTGCGGTTGCGTTGTGTGTTTTACACAAGAAAGGCATAAATTAATACAAATATAATCCTAGGACAAATATATAGCACCGTGTAGATTAAATAATTTTTGTATTCTCTACGCAAATATTAATAAGTTGATTCATGCTTTGAGCGAAAGTTGAGGTTTCATGTTGTTCAAACCAAAATTTTGTTGTTATTGGTGCAAGTTGTACGATAATTTATTTTTAAATAAAAACTTCAAAAAATATAACGCAGTTTTTCTTTCTATGTTTTAGAATTAGTATTTTAAATCCAAAATCCCTCACAAAGCTTTACACACAACAGAATGTTGAAAAAAAATTTATTGACTTGGATCAAAACTAGGTAAGCTAAAAAATTATAAAATGAAACTACCTTCATTATGTATTTATAACTCAAATAGTTTGCAGTTACGAGATAAATAAATTACATAAGTGTACAATGGACTTCATCAAAGAACCTTGGTTTGGGCTCTGGGGCTCTAGGATGAAACGCTTCAATGTAACTTTATTTTGGGAACGGTTTGTTTACGCTGTTTTCCATCTTTATGATATAGCAATTCATCATCCGTCAGCTTTAGTTTGCCAACCAATAGGTTCATAGTTTTCATTTTTTTAATGGTGGTACTGGGTGTGTAAAAGTGCCTTTTTAAAAGCCTACTTGCAAGAATAAAATAAGTTTTTGGAGAGTTTTATGTGGTGCTGCAGGTGATCTATTGATGCAATACTTAAAATGATATTTTTAACATTATAATAAAGTAGGCAGGATTGGTTGAATGACCTTACTTTCTTGAAAATTAATGATAAAGTAAAGTTACTTAATTGTTTTGTGTGGGTATTTAAACATTTAACTAAAAACAAAAATACGTAATTATTTAAACTTTTGACCGTTGGTTGGGATAGAAAACTTCTAAAGTGGTGGCGTATCAAAAGACGTAAGCAGACTACCTACTAGGTACTAGGTAGGCTACCTACGTAGAACTATACCTTGGTGAAACGTCTGCGTGGACCGATGACTTGGTGAAGCGCCTGGTTGCGGGCAGAGCAATCCAGCAGTTATGGAAATCCTTGGGCGAGCGAAAGGGTGTGTTACTTATTATAATATGCGTTTAACGCTGTAACGCTGCCAATTCGCTCATTGCACGGTCTGTCCCGGCCGCTTGCTTTGGTGTTGGCCTTGAGGGAGAGCACTGGTTGTGTAGATCCTCAAGGCAAGCCTGACTGTTATCCTTCTCGTGGTTGCCGCCTGTTTTTGGTCTGGTTCCTTATGAAACAGACGTAACGGAAATGGTCAGACGCATCCCATGCTCCTTAACACCCTTTTCCTACCCCAATCCTGCTTTGCTTTTGCATTTCCTTCCTCTCCTAGGGATACCACAAACCTTGAGGTCCTTAGCCTCCTCAAAAAGTGTGGTCATGGCTACCTTGGGAAAGTACCATGGACGATTTCCCCCTAATTCAAGGTGTGATGCGAACCGTGCCGATGAACGCGTGGCTGAGAGGGAGCTCAGTCTTGAACGGTGCCTGCCCGAGACCAGAGCGATTCGGTGCAGTATTCAGCTCTTCCCTGGGCATGCGGGGCTCTGCCGAGGGTGACCGATTACTTCCCTAGCTACTCGTGGGAACTTTTATGAATACTTTTATAAAAACACCCAAAACTCCTCCCTTAGGGGAACAATTGGACAGGCCTGACGGAGAGCCTTCATTGACCTCCAAATCGCCTTGCTCCAAAATTTCGGAGAGTCTCTCGGCTATGTCTGTGGGGGGCACTNGAACAATCTGCATACACTCAACCTAGGATGCACACCGACCTTTGTAACGTGTAACAGACAAGAAGTTCTTGACATAACTTTCGCAACGAATGCCTTAGCCAGGCACGTCATCGACTGGCAGGTAAGTAATGAAAACTCTATGTCAGATCACCGACACATTCGATTTAACCTGGAAGCATTGCTGCCAAGGCGAATCGAAACCTACAGGGATCCAAGGGCTACTGACTGGGACCATTTCAGGGACCAGTTAAAAACCAACCTTGATGTGATCCCAAAAATCATCAGAACTGTGTAGTGCTTGGAATTAGCAGTGGAGGTAGTCACAGTAGGAATAACCAAAGCCTACGAGGACAGCTGCCCTGTGAAAACCAAAGCATCCACAAGTAAAGTCTCATGGTGGAACTCTAAGCTGCAAAAGCTACGAGAAGAAACCAGGAGACTCTTTAATAGAGCTAAAAAATCCCATGAATGGGACACATATAAGAAAGCTCTAACTAAATATAACACTGAGATCAGGAAAGCAAAGAGAGCATCGTGGAGGAAAATATAATTATCTAAATAAATATTGTAAAAGACGAATAGCGAATTCGCTATAAAAAACTCAGTAAAAACTCAGTAAAACTCATTTATTTCTGTAAGTAGGCTTTAAAAAAGCACTTTTACACGTCCCAGTATTAACCCTACCACTGCTTCAGGACAATAAATGGGCCAGTGCTGAGAAGAAGCAGCGCAAGAAACTCAGACACTATTGTCAGCCTCTTTTTCAAAGGTTTACAGGTTTTCAAAATTCATAGTTATAAATATTTATGCGAGCTAGGCAGTTACGCATCCCAAACATTTTTATCTTTTAAATAATCATCGACTTTATAGTAGCCCTTTTTCATAAGGTACTTTTAATATGTGCTTTGAATTTATGAATGGGTAGTTCTACAACAGTTTGTGGTAATTTATTAAATAATTTAATACATTTCCCCATAAATGAATTCCCAATCTTATGCAGTCTGAAATTTGGAACGGCAAGTTTATTTTTGTTTCTTGTATTAAAGTTATGCAAATCGCTCTTTTTTCCAGGTCATGCGGGAATCGAGGGCAATGAAAATGCCGACGAACTAGCCAGAGCGGGAGCGGAGGGAACACAATATGGTCCAGAACCCTTTTGTGGTGTTCCCAAAAGTCTCGCTCGAATGACCCTGGAGAACATCTATTTAAACAAATCCTTTATGGCATGGTCAGACACGCCAGGATTAACTCATTCCAAAGCTCTCATAAAAGCCTATGATCGAAAAAGCTCTAAGCAGATCATAGGACTGAGTAGGACCAAGATGCGCATCTTAGTTCGAGCCCTCACTGGACACTGCAGCTTAAACAAGCACTTGTCCACTATGGGACTGTCCGAAACAAGAACGTGCAGGATGTGCCAAGAGGCAGATGAAACGCCACTACACATTCTCACGGACTGCGGACCTCTGATGCGCAAGCGGAGCTTACACCTGGGCAAACACATCCTAAGCCCACAAGATGTAAAACATATCGCCCCCCAAAAGATACTGCACTTCCTAATGGATGCAGGACTCGGAGGCGAACTGTAAGGAAAACAGCGGCGATCACAATAGATCGATAACGGTCGCAGTGATACTAGGACTTTATTGAACTAGAATAGCCGCTCAACACAAATAAAAAAAAAAAATATACATCAGAATAAAATAATGTGGGTGGTAAAAGTTAGTGGATAATAAATGGTTGGATCGATGGTAAAAATATCTACGAACTCCCAACAGCTAAATTAGTGTCCCAGTTTTTTGTACAAGAAGAAAGGTCTTCCCAAAATTAACCCCTTATCGGAATGGATGGGTCAAAAATTAGTTATTTTATAATAATAAACGTAATGTCGGCCTACGGTACCTTTACAATAAATCAATAGTAATACAGTACTATCTTTTTTTTTAATAGCCACTCCTATACAACTAGGTACATAACGAACGATACTACTAGCTTAAATTATGTACTATACTGGGACTACTACCACAGAATAATAATAAGTACTACGTACAGAAGTTTTACTTCGCGAAGGTATTTAAAAAAATGTATGCTCAATGTCATTAACAATATGGTGTAATTTAGCCTGTCTCAAGAGTCAAGCACCATTTTGTTGAAAAGCGTCAGTGATCGGCACTGCGCCGAAGCTATAGGGCTGACTTCGGTAAAATGATGTGACGTGAGGTGCCAAACTGCGGAAAATGGCGGAGGAAATACATGATTTAGCATGAATTATCATAAATAATATTAACTACTTATTTACCTCTCAGTGTCTTGAGGCAACTTAAAAAAGTACATTCTGTGTTTTCATTATTATTTAGGCAGTTAAATACTGCACAGTACTGTATTTATCATACACAAGAATACGCGTGCGTGAGTCAATGTTCGCTCGTATGTGAGGCCTTGTCGAATAGTATCCTGTAGGTGGGCCATCGTGCGTGTTGTGTTTTCGATGTAAACTCGCGGAGATGAACAGGCCTGCTACGACATAAACCAACGTCATACTAATCAAAAATTGGTCTCTCCGACTGGCTTGCCCATCATCTGCAGCATCTTGTATTCGGACTTGTGTGTCTTGAGCACGCTGGCCTGGTTCGACCCGGCGTACTGGGGGGAAGGGGGAGGATTAGAGGTGTGAGGTAAAGGTAATGAGGTAAAAGGGGGTGAGATGGCTCATTTTCGTTAGGTTGTCATCATCATTTCAGCCATAGGGCGTCCACAGCTGAACAAAGTAGGTAGAGAAGGGGTTGAATTGTGGCTCATTTTCACTAGGTTATCATCATCATCATTTCAGCCATAGGACGTCCGCTGATGAACATAGGCATCGCCCAATGATTTCCATAATGGCCGGTTCCTGTGGGTCTAGACAAAGTGCACATTATAATCGCAAACCAGTCGAAAAGTTGTCGAAAGGCCTTTTTTTTGTATGGAGTTTTGACGGATTCGATCAAAAAGACAAGTGCAACTTGTCTGGGGGGCTGATACTTATAAGAGGTCGTCGGTCCACCTTGTGGACGTCCAAAGTTGCATTTTCCGGTACGTGGCTTTTAATCTTTACCTGACCGCAGATCAAGGAACGCAACCAATCAATGTGGCAAATGACAAAATAATCCTTTATGAGATGCGATGAGGCGATATATGGTTTTCAAGGTATAATGCCCGTTTTCACCATCAATCCCTAATTTTTAAGTGACCCCTATCATGGTAACACATAAGTGTAATTTTGTTTTCGTAGGGGTCACTTAAAAACTAGGGATTGACAGTGAAATTTTCCATACTCTTATTTATTCGCACTATTCACACCCTGTGAAGGGGAGAGAAGTGCTTCAAAAATTTAAATGATGATGATAGCCTTCAAAAGAAGGCTGGAAGAGGCCTATGTCCAGCGGACTGCCGAAACGTCTCGCCTCAGCCTACTAGTAAATCGGGAAAAAATCAAATGAAACCGCGAGTCAACGTACACTCAACGCCATCTATCGGTGGAATTTCACATTACGTACGATGAGGCGGCACTAGCGACACGGTGCGGCTAAAAGAATCAACTTTTCAGACCTGTGGCAATGCAACAACCAAACGTGAGATTATGGTGTTTTGTTTGGTTTTTTTCTACAACATTTTATTTTATTTTATAAAGAGGTCATGAAAACTTGTTTGTCATAAGAAAAAAAATCGACACCTACTCTACTCATCGTCAGTCTATTGAGTGAGTCACGTTTTCCGGTCCGTAGTCGGCACTCAAACTTTTTTTGCATGCTATGGCCCCCTATTAGCATATGCTACGTAAAAGGGGGCATACGTACCTCGTCCTTATTAACCACGGGCTTGTCTCCGACCCCCCACACTTCCAAACTCCTGATGCGGAAGGTGGGTTCCTTGCTAAGTCGCTTGCACCCGCGGTAGGTGCTGTAAGACCCAGATGCCGTATGCTATGGCCTCCTATAAGACCCCCTTCAAAAGGGGGGTTACGTACCTCGTCCTTATTAACCACAGGTTTGTCTCCGACCCCCCACACTTCCAAACTCCTGATGCGGAAGGTGGGTTCCTTGCTAAGTCGCTTGCACCCGCGGTAAGTACTGTAGGACTCAGATGCCATATGCTACGGTCCCCTATAAGCCCCCTCTTCAAAAGGGGGGTTACGTACCTCGTCCTTATTAACCACGGGCTTGTCTCCGACCCCCCACACTTCCAAACTCCTGATGCGGAAGGTGGGTTCCTTGCTAAGTCGCTTGTAGCCGCGGTAGGTGCTGCAGGAATATGCTATGGCCCCCTATAAGTCTCCCCTTCAAAAGGGGGGTTAAGTACCTCGTCCTTATTAACCACGGGCTTGTCTCCGACCCCCCACACTTCCAAACTCCTGATACGGAAGGTGGGTTCCTTGCTAAGTCGTTTGTAGCCGCGGTAGGTGCTGCAAGACTCAGCGGAGGCGCCTGCGCCGAACGGATCCGCATCGATCCAAATGCCGCCGAATTCGAACTGCCCGCCCATTATCTGGAAGGGATAAAATAATAAATGACTATATGGTTAACAGTGAAAGGGTGTTTTAGAATTGTTAAATATGTCGGCTAGATGACAAAATTTCAATTATTTGTCCGTCAGACAGATAATTAGAAAATATTATCCTCATATTTTTTTATTTCTTTCATAATTAAATTGAAGTTGAAATGTCGCGTGACGTCACTTTTAAGTAAATTTTTTACTCGTGTGTCGTCACGCGACATTTCAACTCAATATAATACTGTAATTATTCGATTATGGAAAAAATTAAAAAATATGAGTCTAATATTTTCTAATTATCTGTCTGACGGACTAAATAGAATTTCGATTTCATTACCCAGTCTTCATGCCAATTGAGTAATTAAAAAATACTTAATTCTAGCCTTTAAACTGAATCAGTTTTCAATTACCTATATTTTGTGTGTATCTGAAGCAGATTGCACTCACTTACTTATACAGAGTGTTAGTTAGGTAAATGGATATATGAGCCGACACTAGCGCATGTTAACATATGCATATAAATGGTATGCTGAAGTCAGAAATTTGATATCATCATTTTAATTTTTTAAATGTTCATACAAAATAAAATTTATAAAATCGGATTTGTATGAAATTTAAAATATTAAAATGATGATATCAATTTTCTGACTTCACCATACCATTTATATGCGTATGTTAACATGGGCTAGTGTCGGCTCATATACCCATTTACCCAACACCCTGTAAAAGTGAGGTCGTGGATTCGACTCCCGTCTGAAACAATTGATATTCCTTACAAAATAACTCGTTCCACTCACCAAACCGTTGGGCAGCGTTTTCGTGTGATGGTTAAGGTACTGATAGTGATCGTTGTAGCCGGTGGAGGGATAAGCCCGCATTTTGGGCGCGAGCGCGAATAGGAACGAATCTTCGTCGCCTGGAAGAGATTAGGTATTTTTTAATGTTCTGTATTAAAATAAGTTTTCAAAATTCAACTAAATTCATGAAATAAGATTAATAAATTCCTTTTTTCATTTCAATTTTACGAGAAAAAAAAGGAAAAAAAACACTATTTTGATTTTTTTTCTTATTTTTCCTAAAATAAAAAAAAATATCTTTGGGCATTTTACACTGCGCTTCTAGTCCCAAACTAAGCAAAGCTTGTACTATGGGTACTAGACAACGGATATAAAGATACTTAAATACTTTTTTTTTTTAATTATTATACATAGAAAACACCCAGTCCAATACAAACAAATATGTTCATGCTTACAAATGTTTGTACTGTGCGGGAATCGAACCCGCTACCTCCGGAATAGTAGTCCGTTTCGAACAACTACACCAAACGGCCGACCATGTCCACCATACGGCGCCGGCTTATCGTTGTATTTTGGGACAGTATGTATAGTGATAGGATTACGTTGATAAAGCGCCAGTAGTTTAGAGCAACCTTTTGGCAAGCGAAACGTTCTGGGTTCGAGACTCGACGAGGCAATTGACATTTTCAAGGCAAGTGGTTAGTTACTTGCCAGTAATATTTTTTGTAATTGAAGCCACGACCTGAGGCATAAGTAAAGTACGGCCAACGAGAAGCGATACCAAATGTAAACAAACCCAATGTCATGGGTGAACCCGTCTGACTTTGGCGACAGTCGTATCGACTTTTTATATCGCTGCTAGTGGGCCGTACTTTAGTATTCCAGTTCACGAACAACTGAACTGTATATTTTACCTGTGAAGTTGGGTCCTATAGACCAGGAGACCGGGGCGTAGCCTCCAAATATATGCCCGCTATTGTCCTCTAAGATCAGTACTGATGCACCCTGGTCCTGGATGCGACCTGGCGAACGAAAATGAATTCAATAAGGTGCACGTTAGAACTGCAAATAGGGAATAATATGCAAGTCCACGCGAAATTTTGTCAGTGTGTGCGTGCGCGCCGCATACGTATTGGCGCGCTCACATACAAACCGCGCTCGGTGCGTTACTATGAAGATAACCTACTCATCTGTATTTACTCTGGTTTTTGTTTCTCACACGGTTAGCCACACGATGTAGCAGAGGTCTATGTACGCTGGGTAGTCCATATTTTGAACTTTATTCCCTTGGCTTAAGATCTAAGAAATAGTGGCAGTGGGCGGGGCACATAGCTCGTAGAGATGATGGCCGCTGGGGCAGAAAAGTTCTCGAGTGGCGACCACGGGCAGGAAGACGTAGCGTGGGCAGGCCCCACTAGGTGGACCGACGATCTGGTGAAGGTCGCGGGAAGAACCTGTATGCGGGCAGCGCAGGACCGTTCGTTATGGAAATCCTTGGGGGAGGCCTTTGTTCAGCAGTGGACGTTATGGCTGAAACGAACGAACGAAGGTCCAAGACCAATGAAAAATTTGGACTTGTTATGCCCAAAGGCTTAAGCCATTTTGGACTCTATAGCTCAAAACTTACCGGCCATAGTCGAAAAAGATTCCCCGTGTATGTGAGAAGAGAACAGAAACCGCCACTTGCGCTGATGCTTCTGCGGCAGATAGCTGTTTAGTCACACAATCTATGAATGCTGGATAGTTCACATTTTGGACTTTATTCCCTTGTCTTAAGGTCCAAAAACAATCAAAAATTTGGACTTGTCATGCTCAAAGGCTTAAGCCATTTTGGACTCGATAGCTCAAAACTTACCGGCCATAGTCGAAAAAGATTCCCCGTGTATGTGAGAAGAGAACAGAAACCGCCACTTGTGCTGATGCTTCTGCGGCAGATGGCTGTTTAGTCACACAATCTATGAATGCTGGATAGTTCATATTTTGGACTTTATTCCCTTGTCTTAAGGTCCAAAAACAATCAAAAATTTGGACTTGTCATGCTCAAAGGCTTAAGCCATTTTGGACTCAATAGCACAGAATAATAATAAGTACTACGTACAGAAGTTTTACTTCGCAAGGGTATTTAAAAAATGTATGCTCTATGTCATTAACAATATGGTGTAATTTAGCCTGTCTCAAGAGTCAAGCACCATTTTGTTGACAAACGTCAGCGATCGGCACTGCGCCGAAGCTATAGGGCCGACTTCGGTAAAATGATGTGACGTGAGGTGCCAAACTGCGGAAAATGGCGGAGGAAATGCATGATTTAGCATGAATTATCATGAATAATATTAACTACTTATTTACCTCTCAGTGTCTTGAGGCAACTTAAAAAAGTACATTCTGTGTTTTTATTATTATTTACGCGGTTAAATACTGCACAGTATTTCGTACACCATTTTCTTTATTTTCTTCCATCATACACAAGAATACGCGTGCGTGAGTCAATGTTCGCTCGTATGTGAGGCCTTGTCGAATAGTATCCTATAGGTGGGTCGTCGTGCGTGTTTTGTTTTCAATGTAGACTCGCGGAGATGAACAGGCCTGTCAATGGCTCAGAACTCACCAGCCATAGTCGAGAAAGATTCTCCATGTATATGAGAAGAGAACAGAAACCGCCACTTGTGCTGATGCTTCTGCGGCAGATGGCTGTTCAGCCACACGATGTGGGACAGGTCAATGAACGCTGGGTAGTCCGGCATGGCGTCTAGACCTGGAATAGTTATGGTTACATTTAAAAAAACGCATGAAAGATATCTCTTATTTTAGGGTTCTGTACCGTTGAAGGAAAAAACGGAACCCTTATAAGATCACTTTGTTGTCCGTCTACCTGCCAAGACCCTTTCTCGGGAACGCGTGGAGGAATCGAGTTGAAGTTAAAACGATATACGAACTTTTAATTTAACGTAAAAAAAATACGTTTATGACGCAAAAAACGAATATTCAGCCTTCTTTTTGATGCCGTATCTTAACGAAGACTCTTCCAGCTGATTCTACAATCCAGCACTAGTCTACATACCTCAGAGATACTGCCCACTGTGCAGGGGCTGCATGGAGACAGAAGAAACGCCTCAGCATATACTGATGGATGCAAGAGCGTGGTGGAAAATTCTTCAAACTTTATTCACAGTTGGAAGTTTGCTCGTGCAAGGCTCCTGCCTGGAATGATCTGGGTTAGCTTCAGAAGCATTTCCAGCACTGGTCTGGTAGTTCTGGTACATACCCTCAGGGATAAGAAGCCGGGAGGGCATAGAAGGCGGTAGCGGTGTCAGGCTCTTATCACCAGCCTTCTTGTTGATACCGAAGGTTCTTGAAGATTGCTAACCACTTCTAGAATGTTCTGCTGTCCAACTCTGGTCTACACACCCTCAGGTATTGGTAGCAGGGAGGGCATAGAAGGCCGTAGCGGTGTCGGGCTCTCATCGCCAGTCTTTTTGTTGACGCCTCAGATACTTGAAGACTGCTAGCTGCTTCTACAATGTTTTGCTGTCCAGCACTGGTCTACATACCCTCAGGGATAGGCAGCAGGGAAGGCATGGAAGGTGGTAGCGGCGTGGGTCACTCTTCACCAGCCTTCTGTTGACACCGAAGGCTTTTGGAAGACTGCTAGCTGCTTCTACAATGTTCTGCTGTCCAGCACTGGTCTACATACCCTCAGGAATTGGAAGCAGAGAAGGCATAGAAGGTGGTAGCGGCGTGGGACTCTCATCGCCAGCCTTCTTGTTGATGCCGTAGAGGTTCACGAACACCAGCTCTGCCAGTTGCTTCAGCAGAATGTTGGTTTGGAGCCTGGAATCATATTAGGAGGGGTGTTTCAATCATGTACAGATGCTGTTGATTACATGAACAGCCATACAAGAATAGCAATGGATATGGGCCTCCAACGATAATGATATTTTACCCTTTGATTGTCCGGCTTGTCTCATTTTGCAAGATGTTACCTAGCTGGATAGATCTTGAATTCTTGACAAAGTTAAACAGTGCATTAATACAATTATCAGGATAGTTCAGATAGTGACTTATCCTTAAGTCTTTCCCAGACAGACATCTAAGTCAACAACTTGATTATAAGCCTAGATCTTGGTTTACTTAGAACTCACCATTTAGACAGCTGGTCAGCTGTACAATGATGGTGGGGGGAGTCCAAATCCCCCCCTACCGTGGCAGCGACCGCCTCCCCCAAAGCTTGCACGTCTTGACAGTAAACTCCCCCTAGTCCCCCCTTCTAGGTTTACTCACCATTTTGACAGCTGGTCAGCTGTACAGTGATGATGGGGGAAGTCCAAATCCCCCCCTACCGTGGCAGCGATTGCCTCCCCCAATGCTTGCATAATTTGATAGTAAAATCCCCCTTTTTAGCTCACCATTTAGACAGCTGGTCTGCTGTACAGTGATGATGGGGGAGTTCAAATCCCCCCCTACCGTGGCTGCGATTGCCTCCCCCAATGCTTGCATAATTTGAACGTAAAATCCCCCTTTTTAGCTTACCATTTAGACAGCTGGTCTGCTGTACAGTGATGATGGGGGGAGTCCAAATCCCCCTGTACCGACGCAGTAAACTCCCCTCTTCTAAAGCCTGGTCCGTGAGCACGTAGAATTTTGTCCAATGACCCCAAGCTACCCATCCTCATCGCTCGCGCGTAATTATATTGCTGTCGCGCTCGCACACTCACTGCGGGCGCCCGTCGCACAGTCGCGACAGCAATATAATTACGCGCGAGCGATAAGGATGGGTAGCTTGGGGTCATTGGACAAAATTCTACGTACTCACGGACCAGGCTTTAGATAAAATCCCCTCAGTCCCCCCTTCTAGGTTTACTTACCATTTTGACAGCTGGTCAGCTGTACAATGATGGTGGGGGGAGTCCAAATCTCCCCCTACCGTGGCAGCGACCGGCTCCCCCAAAGATTGCATAATTGGCAGTAAAATCCCCCTTATTAGCTTACCATTTAGACAGCTGGTCTGCTGTACAATGATGGTGGGGGGAGTCCAAATCCTCCCCCTACCATGGCAGCGATCGTCTCCCCCAAAGCTTGCATAATTTGACAGTAAAATCCCCCTTTATAGCTTACCATTTAGACAGCTGGTCTGCTGTACAATGATGGTGGGGGGAGTCCAAATCCTCCCCCTACCATGGCAGCGATCGTCTCCCCCAAAGCTTGCATAATTTGACAGTAAAATCCCCCTTTATAGCTTACCATTTAGACAGCTGGTCAGCTGTACAGTGATAGTGGGGGGAGTCCAAATCCCCCCCTACCGTGGCAGCGACCGCCTCCCCCAAAGCTTGCATAATTTGCCAGTAAAATTCCCCTCTTTAGCTTACCATTTCGACAGCTGGTCAGCTGTACAATGATGGTGGGGGGAGTCCAAATTCCCCTGTCTGTACCCTCGCAGTAAACTCCCCTCTTCTAGGTTTACTTACCATTTCGACAGCTAGTCTGCTGTACAGTGGTGGTGGGGGGAGTCCAAATCCCCCTGTACCGTCGCAGTAAACTCCCCTCTTCTAAAGCTTGGTCCGTGAGCACGTAGAATTTTGTCCAATGACCCCAAGCTACCCATCCTCATCGCTTGTGCGTAATTATATTGCTGTCGCGCTCGCACACTCACTGCGGGCGCCCGTCGCACAGTCGCTTGGGGTGGTGGCTTGGGGTCATTGGACAAAATTCTACGTGCTCACGGACCAGGCTTTAGATAAATCCCCTCAGTCCCCCCTTCTAGGTTTACTCACCATTTTGACAGCTGATCTGCTGTACAATGATGGTGGGGGGAGTCCAAATCCCCCCCTACCGTGGCAGCGACCGCCTCCCCCAAGGCTTGCACGTGCGACGCCTTGCCTCGGAAGCCTTTCTCTATCCACGTGCGCGCGCGCCTTGACGTCGACGACTTTAATAAATTCTCTAATAAAAACCTCTGTGGTTTAGTGGCAAGACCACCTGCTTCCGATCCAGAGGTCCCGGGTTTGATTCAAAGTGGGGGCAGATTTTTCTGTAAAGTTGGTTGGGCTGGGTGGTAGAGCTTGTTCAAATCCGCCTGGTTAGCAACCACTATCTTACCTAAGTCTGTCGCCATAACAACAATGTTAACAGCTGTGTTCTGGCAGTTGCGAGGTAAGATAGCCAGTTCCTCTGTGGTTGAGGATTTCGTGTGAAGCTCGCTTCCACCTTCGGCGTCATCACTTTCCATCATGTGCGATGCGTGCCAAGAGCTTTTTTGTTAATGATAACTAAAACTCACCATTTTGACAGCTTGCAGCTCCCCCAAAGCTTGCATAATTTGACAGTAAAATCCCCTTTTTTAGCTTACCATTTAGACAGCTGGTCTGCTGTACAGTGATGATGGGGGGAGTCCAAATCCCCCCCTACCGTGGCAGCGACCGCCTCCCCCAAGGCTTGCACGTGTGACGCCTTGCCTCGGAAGCCTTTCTCTATCCACGTGCGCGCGCGATGCGAAGTCGACGACTTTAGTATCTTTATGTACGTTGATGCTATGCTCTCGCAGTACTGGAAGGTTAGAAATAGAAATGGACTTTATTTAAAACTAGCTTTCCGCCCGCGGCTTCGCCCGCGTGCAAGTTTTCGGTTTTTTATATAACCTATGACACTCAGCAATAATGTGGCTTTCTATTGGTGAAAGAATTTTTAAAATCGATTCAGTAGATCCCGAGATTACCCCTTACAATTTAACAAATATACAAACACACAAACTTTACCTCTTTATAATATTAGTATAGACTAGCGACACGCCCTGGCTTCACACGGATGCAATGTATTTTCATCCTGAATCACTAAGTATTGCTGAAAACTGCATCTAAATTCGTCGCGTGGTTTAAAAGATCTAAACGCACAGAGACAGATCGGGAGCGATTTTGTTTTATACTGTCATCATGATCATCATCTCAGCCATAGAATGTCCACTGCTGAACATAGGCCTCTCTACCAATGATAAAATGTAAATGCCTCCCCCAATGATAAAATGTATGGTAAAGATTTATTTTATTTTATTTTATTTATTAGGACAACCAACGAGACACTATAACTAAAAGTGCTTAGTTAGAACTAAGTGTTGTCTTAATTATAGGCTGCCACGGCATGCAAGATATAATACTTTTCTGCCAAAGGACTTCCACTTCTGGACAAAGGCCTCCCCCAAGGATTTCCACAACGATTCTCCTGCGCTGCCTGCATCCAAACACTTCACTAGATAGTTGGTCCATCGAGTGGGAGGCTTGCCTGCCTACAGTACGTTTTCGGGGCCACTGGAGAACTTTTCTGTCACAATGGCCATCAGTTCCACGAGCTATGTGCCTCGAATGTTGCCACTTACGTTTGGCAATTCTGCGGGCTATACGTTAAAAATGTAATGCAATATGAAAGCTTTTTAAATTAAAGCAAAAGCGAATCGTAACACATACCTCTCTTAATAATTGATAAGGCAACTCGACGGTTTCGTTATAATCCTTCCCTAAACTGTTGTATGTGACCATCATTCTCTCGTCCACTGTTCCTGTAACAGAATACAAAGAAATTGAAAAGAAACTCGGTCACTTTTTACATACATTGCCGATCACCTCACTTTTAGCTCATCGACTAACTAATCTATCAGTACTTCTAGCATGAACAACGTTCGTCTTCGAATCGTTTGCGTATTCGACAAAATTCGATACTCAACCTTCGAATTAAACGATAACGTGACAATTTTGATTCTCAAAATAAGTTCTGTGCAACCATTTCTCATACTTAGTTCACTTTACGATAAGTTGAAAGGGCGCTGTTGTAGTTTTCGTACTAAATCTTTTGATGACGATTCGAATACGCAAACGATTCGAACTCGAAAGTTTTTCGAGCTGGCCGTACGGAATTACTTCTCCGCATTCGTTAGAACTACACAGTTGTTTCTCGTTCAAGCTAACTCGTATGTAGTTTCAAGTTCTTCTTTTTCATCAAATTCTTTATTAGTATCTAGGCCTTTTCAGGACACTTATAGCTTGCCCTATCACCACGAGGACAACATATCTGCTGGTGTATAGACAGTGGGACAAGTGTCTAGCAAAACCATAATCTCTTCTCAGTCGTTGGTCGTCAGGAGTGTAGATTGTTGTGGGCAGATGTTGCTCGCCTTACGATGTCCTACCATTTTTGCCTGTTGGTGGTTAGCTTGGTGCAGGGAGCCTGGATCGGAGGAAATAGTTCATACCTCTTACATTATACACGTACAGCTCCGCAAACCTATTGAAGTCGACCGACGGCGACTTCTGCTGGCCTGACCCGAAGAGGAAGTTCGATAAGTACTGCGCTAGTCGAGGGTCTATTTGGGGGCCCCAGAATTTCTGAAAATAATCAATGAATAATATTACAAAACGGTAAGATGACCTAGTAAATAGGAAACCTAGTGGGAAACTAAGGGAATCTCTATCTTATCTTATGCAGGGCTAAGCCTTGGCGTAGTGCACGTCGACCCCTTGGGACCTTTGTGCTTCCTTTGATCTTTATTCCCTATCATCCACAAAAATCCTATCCATTTGGTGAATTAAGTGCTTGGGTGAGACGGACATGTCTTCTGGTGCTGGAAACCCATCCTTGTTCTAGCTAACACAGTAGGTGTTTCGTGGACTCCCCATGATCTTGTGATCGACAGTAGTCGTCGCCAGTTGAAACTAGGAGTAACTAACTAACTAATAAATGGATGTCAGAGGACTGTCGATCAGAGGAGTCGCTGATTTGTTCCCCGACAATCGGTGGACTATTGGTAAGCCCACTCTTAACACAAGCATTGTACATTTAAACCTACTTAGCAGTAGTAACTAAGGGTAACTAAATATGAATGGGCAATATGTCATCGGATTCTCGATTCAAGACGATGCTGGTTCCAACCACTGGACTATTAAGGTGAAGAACCCACTCCTAACACAACCATTTTAGCTTAGCTTGGCCTTGAGGGGTTATCAGACATAGGTCAATATATTCTGTGGTAGTACGTAAAACTGTTCACTTATCCACTACCGACCAAGCACCCTGGAGATTTAACATTATCATCAAAAATATGATTGGACTGACAGCTGTTTAGAGCTGGCAGTGTAAAGAAAGCGTGCATCATCGCTTAAATATAGTGTAGCCGGATGCGCACGCGAGTGTACTCCACGGGTATGTATTGTTATGGTGTGGCCAGAGAATAGGCGGTTTAAGGGCTTTTACACAAAACTACTCCCCTGGGGGCAGGCCTTTGTCGAGCTGTGAACGACGACGTTTCAACAAACGACACAGCTTCGCTTGTTTCAACAAACGAATACAAAACTGCGAATCGGCGCCTCAATGACAGGGGGGCGCTACCATCGTTCAACTACATAATATGGTTTCCAACATGGCAAAAATCGAAACCAGCGATCCGGTATTGACGGTGGCACCCCACTGTCAATGTCATGCATAGGACAGTTCAGTATTTTGGAACTATATGCGAATTCGAACAAGATTTGCTGGATTTCAAGCGTTCCACGATTCTCATCGCAGGAATGCATGATGCAAAACAATTCGCAAATTCTTGCGGTGCGTCGTGGTGGGAGTTCGTTTTATGATGCGCGTCTTCACCAGACATGACTTTAACAGCTTATACCTCTTTAGTTTCGTGGCCCAACATAACAGAATATTTCATACATCTCGCCCGACAGTATTCCATACAAAAAATAAACAACGTCCATCGCTAACGTATAAACTATGCTTTGATTATCTGTTTGAAATTTATGCGTCTCTTGCGCATGTTCATGTCAGGTACAATCGACAGCACATTAGAGAATTCTTGTAAAATCACCCTTATCCCCTATTAATACAGTTATTTTTTATCCACAACAAGGAAGCTCTTGGCCTGCATCTCATCTGATGGAAAGTGATGATCAGGCCGAAGGTTACCAAGAACTGACTATCATATCTCCAACTGCCGGAGCACACAATGCTGAAACATTGTTGTTATGGCGACAGACGAACAGACAGAATCGACAGAAGAAGTCCGCCTGGCTACCTAAAGCCAGGCGGACTTAGGACAACCCCTACCACCAACCAAAAATTTTACCTCCACTGGGAATTGAACCCAGGACCAATGGGTCAGAAGCAGACAGTTTTACCACTAGACCACAGGCGCATTCATTTTACTTAGGATAGATAAGCGATTAACTGCGAATATCATGATAGAAATGAGAAAATGAGGTCAACCCATTATGTTACAACCTTTCACACCACGTTGAAAAGAAAATAAATAATTCAATATTTCATCTAGAAGATGAAACTTAGTATGTACACACGGCCACACTGTTAGCTATTCATTTCCGTTTTTGCTCTCGCTCTCATCAAATGGTGATTCTTTGCGATAGAACAAGACGACATGACAGGCAATGGATAGTTAACACTGTTGCCGATGGTACAACTGTTTTGGACAACCCTGACCCTTGTAATACGAGGAAGGTAATGTTGGACAGCCCTGACCGTTACGAGGAAGGTAATGTACCGTGTTGAGGATGGATATAAGACACCTGGCCCACGTTTCAAGGGCTCGTGGCTTTATAACGATTGGATATGTTTTGGTGCTTTTCCTTGTTTAGTGTTCTTATGAGTACATTAGTAGTACCTACTTTAATACGTAGAGGTAATAGGTTATCATCATATCACCCAGTATTTTATCAACATAATTCGTTGGGGGAGGATTTTGTCCAGCAGTGGCATTCGGTTGAAACAACCAATTTTCATTTGTCCGCCGAGCGCCAATTGTAATCATTATCATTTCAGCCACAGGACGTCCACTGCTGAACATAGGCCTCTCCCAATGATTTCCACATCGCCCAGTTGTTAGCGGCCTGAATCCAGCGCCTTCCTGTTACCTGTTAAGGTTACTAAACTTTTGTTTGTCACATCCGCTTTGCAATGGACGGAAGAGGAACCTTAACTTCGAACTCCTCCTATGCTATCTTCTTCTGATTAAATTCATTTCGGGTCCAATCGCAATAACAGTTTAACTTTCCCCCGGGACAAACTTGACCTTCACTGGCTGGGTTTTTATAGGCAGTCAAACTGTAGATCCTGGCTATGCAGGAGTTGCAGCGGTGGGAACGAGAGGTGGGAACAGGACCGTTTGTTACCATTATGTCAATTGTGATTATTTGTGATACACATTCGTTTTTAAAAGACTCTCGACTTTCATAAACAATTTTTCATGTCTGTATATCACAGAATTGGACTAATTTGGCCCCAACACAAATCCTTCGTTTCACAACAGACCTAATGCATCGGCCACTGTTTACCAAACAGTCGGGGAGTGTAATCGCTGGTGGCTTGATGGATGGGCCATTGCCAGAGCCGAAATAACCGTATTATTTGTAACTGTTATTGTAACAAGTGACAAAACAGTAACTAAAGGTATCATTGCCTTCAAAAATCAATTAAATCCAAAGGTATCATCAAAAATGAAATGGCGACGAAGCGATTTCTGAATCACAACTTTCACCTTCCACTGTCCACCCACAAGGTGGACCGACGACCTCATAAAGGTAGCAGGAAGGCGCTGTCAACCGTCATTATGTAATCATTGGGGGTAATGGGGGTGGTCTATATTCAGCGGTGAGACGCCCTATGGCTGATTTCATTTGATAATGATGAACAAAGGTGACGCTTGTAACTTTCTACTATAGATTGTGTCTAAGGGGAACCTGTAAGTAGTTATTTCCATACAAGTGTAGAACTTTTTTTATGCATAACAAAGCAGGTCTGTAATCGCACCTGATGTTAAGTGAGATGCAGTCTAGATCTCCCATGTAGTAAGTGCTTATTACTCTCGCCCTGAAAAGGCCCGGATTATAGTGTTCGGGAAAGATAGCAGCAGGCAACGAATTCCAGTCCCTATCTGTTCGCATTATAAAAGAGAACTTAAAGCTTGTAGAGAATCAGCGTTTTGACAGCTTGTGGGGTCCGATCCCATATTTCGTCACTATTTCACCTAACCTTAACCTTAAGTTGGTTGGGGAAAAGTGATCTTGTCGATTTTTAATCTTCAATCGATATTTTAATTGCTATTGCGATAACGCAAAAATAATTCAGAACACAGGAGGTTTTTTCATCGAAATATGCGATGAAAGTCTTGATCCAACGGTTTTTCTCCGTGTGGGATGCGGCCCACGTCACTCTGATGTTCAATAGAAATGTTTACTAAACAACCTAGTTATATCCAGGATATTGACGTACTAGCTCTAATTACGTGCGCTAATTACTGTAGCTCTAGGATTAGATTGGAGCTACACGAACTCTAGATTAAAACATCTTTCTAGATCTTTCACACTATAGTCTAGTTTTGCGGGGTCTAGTGATGCAGGACCCTGTAAAAATTGCAAGTTTATTGACATTAAGCTTACTTTACTTACTCCTGTGTTTATTAATCTTACTTTTTGCTTATTGTGTGTCAATGTGTTTCGCAAATAAACCTTATATCTATCTATCTATCACTTCCATGCCGCTCTCATAGCTCAGGCACTGAGTCAAGCGCTAAACTTATAGGTTAGTAATTTGTCCCCTACAAATTAGCAATCCCTAAAAAATTCCTCCGGTTGCCTAGCAGAACTAATATCCGTAAGAGCCCTGCAATTTACCTAAAAACTATGACCCAGCCGCACCACGGCCGGCAAATAAACCTCGCCATAAAGCGGCTGACGTCAATGGGAGCAAATAATGGTCGCAAACAATGGGAATGTTACCAATTGCGGGTAGGGAACGTGTACGTGACGATTTGACATAGATCTGACGTAGTTCAGGTGCCTACTTACTCTACTATACGAGTAGATGTTTTAAACCTTTGTTTGTCACCTGCCATCCGCTTTGCAATGGAGGGAAGTCGAACCTTAATTTCGAACTCCTCCTATGTTCTTCTGATTAATTTCTTTGCGGATCCAATGACAGTTTAACTTTCCCCCGGGACAAACTTGACCTTCATTGGTTGGGTTTTTATGGTGGTCAAGCTGTAGATCCTGGCTACACAGGAGTTGCAGTGGTGGGAACGAGAGGTGGGAATAGTCCCGTTTATACGAGTAGATGTCCAACACTGAACCGTCCCAGCTATGACATTTCAGGAGGGCGTTACTATCAATACTGGATTATTAGTACCGATTTTGGAAGCAATAAGAAAGCAGTGACGGATTTACAGTTTTGTCGCCCGTAGGCTAGGGTGGGGTTGGATCTTTATTTAACTTTTATCTTCTGAAATCGAGTAAGCGTCATCTGAAATCTGCCGCCCCTAGGACGCTGCCGCCCCTAGGCCGCGGCCTATACGGCTTATTGACAGATCCAGGACTGATGGAAA